CCAAGTGGGACGCCGGGGATCAAACTCAGGTCAGCTGCATGCAAAGCAAGCCCTCTACCCATTAGACTATTGCTACATTCCTTATTTTTCTGGGGTTTTTTTGTGTGTGAGTGTGTGTGTGGGTGGTGGGGGGACAGTCACCCCTGCCAGTGCTCAGGGGCTACTCTGGCTCTGTGTTCAAGTCAATAAAATTGTTTAATCGGATTCTAGACTTGGTGGGCTGGACACGAGAGGAGCTGGATTCGATCTCTGCATCGTCTCCGGGAGCACTGCCAGGAGAGATCCTCAGGCACAGAATCAAGAGTCCCCCCCGTACACTATTGGTGTGACCCCAATAAATAAACTGAAGAAAAAAGAAGAATTATTGAAGCCTGAGATCTCTTGGGGACTAGTTGCTGTCTAGTCCCTGGATTAGGACATTTGCTCTGAATGCCCCCCCTTAATCACTTGATCACTTGACTTCCCATTAATCATTGATTTGCTCGAGCGGGCACCAGTAACGTCTCCATTTGTTCCTGTCGCGTGCTAGTGTAGCCCAATGGCGTCTGTTCGCTCTAGGAACACGAAGAGCCTCAAACTGATCGTTCATGATCGGCTTCTATAAAGAAGACCACACCTTCTACAAGATCATTGTGGGTGATTTTAATGCCAAGATAGGACTGAGAAGATCAGCCGAAGAACTTCACATCAGGACCCATTGCCTAGAACGGAACGAACAGGGTGAGAGACTGTCTGAGTTCATCATGTTGACCAAGACCATCCATGGTAACTCACAGTTCCAGAAGGCCGAATCTAAACGTTGGACATGGGAGTCTCCCGGTAGACGATTCCACAACGAAATAGACCACATCATATTCAGTTGACGGTCTTGCCTGACCGATGTCGCTGTTGTCCCAAAATTCCGAACGGGATCGGACCACCGTCTCCTTCGTGCAAAATTCTACTTCACAGAGCGGGGAGAAAGGGCTGCAAAGTTTAAAAAGAGAACTCCCAGAACGACCACCAACTGGGAGCTCTTTGGCACTATTGAGGCAACATGGCAAGATGCCATCGTTGACAACATTGACGAGGAATACAATCGACTGGTTGAGCACCTCCATGATTGAACACCCCCCCCCCCCACACACACACACACTATTTCCAGTTCCTTCTGGTTCCTTCATTACTTTTCTTCCTCCTCCTCTTCCTGAGTCATGAACATATACCAAACCTCAGCCCAGTTCTTCCCAAAGCCTTCCAGAGAAGGCTGTGCCAGGGTGGGCAGTTCCCTGGGTCTTCGCCTCCTCTCACTGGGTCTCCAGGCTCCTTCCAGAAATGAGCTAACTGACCAGGAGCAGACATGCAGAGAGTTGGCAAAAAAAGGTTTTTCCAAAGTTGATGGTTGATGTTTCCACTCAAGGTTTCCTCATCTCTAATTCCAGGTGAGGAGACACCCCCCACCCCCGCCTTTTGGTGAATACTTTCATTCCTTGGCACTCTCAGGAACTAACTGGTAATTGGTGCTTAATATCTGGGCTGGAGTGATAGCACAATGGTTGAGCGTTTGCCTTGCATGCAGCCGGCCCAGCTGAGCCGGGTTCGATTCCTTGCCCCTCTCGGAGAGCCTGGCAAGCTACCCAGAGTATCTCACCCGCACGACAAAGCCTGGCAAGCTCCCCGTGATGTATTTGATATGCCAAGCACAGTAACAACGAGTCTCAAAATGGAGACGTTACTGGGCCCGCTCGAGCAATCTAAACACATTGCGTTAAGGGCTGAAGAGACGGCCCAATGGGCTACAGCACATGTCCTGAATGCAGACATTGTTTCCCGACACTGCATGGTCCCCCCAACACGACCAGGAGCAACCCTCGCAAGCAATGAGCTAAATTAGAAGCGGCTCCTATCATTGGTGGTTGTGGCCCCCCAATTTTAAGTAATTTTTTTAATTTTAGGGGACACAGCCAGTAGAACTCAGGGCTTACTCCTGGATCTGTGTTTGGAACCTTCTATAGTTTCTCAGGTGCTGGGGATGGAATCAGGTTGGCCATGTGCGAGGAAAGTGCCGCCCCTACTCATTCTAGCTCCAGCACCCTCAATATATATATATATTTTTTTTTGGGTCACACCCGGCAATGCACAGGGGTTACTCCTGGCTCATGCACTCAGGAATTACTCCTGGCTGTGCTCAGGGGACCATATGGGATGCTCGGAATCGAACTCTGGTCTGCCGCATGCAAGGCAAACGCCCTACCTGCTGTGCTATCGCTCCAGCCCCCTCAAAATACTTTAGACTAGATTAAGGCTAGGCTAATTTATTTGATTAAACCACCTCTTCTGTTTGTTTTTGGGGTCAAACCTGGTAGTGCTCAGAGGCGATACTCCTGGTTCTGTGCTTGGGGGGAGGGCACTCCTGGCAGTGCCTCGGGGGACCACGTGGTGCCAGAGATCCAAACTTGGATTCTCCGGCTACTGTACCACTGTTCATCGATTTGCTCAAGCGGGCCCAGTAACGTCTCCATTTTGAGACTTGTTGTTACTGTGTTTGGCATATCGAATACATCACAGGGAGCTTGCCACGCTTTGCCGGGATACTCTGGGTAGCTTGCCGGGCTCTCCAAGAGGGGTGGAGGAATCAAACCCGGATCAGCCGGGCTGGCTGCATGCAAGGCAAACGCCCTACCGCTGTGCTATCGCTCCAGCCCACATTCTCCAGCTACACAGTCCTTTAAGCTAAATCTTCAACCTGTCACAACAACTATTTTTTGGGGGGAGGTCACATCTGGCAGTACTCAGGGGTTACTTCTGGTTCTACACTTAAGCACTACTCCTGGTGGTGTTCAGGGGACCATTATGGAATGCCAGGGATCGAACCTGGATTGGCCATGTGCAAGGCAAGCACCCTACCCTCTGTACTACTGCTCCAGTCCCTGACAACCTTTTTTTGTTTTGAGGCCATAGCCAGTGGTGCTCAGGGCTTACTCCCGGCTGGATCACTTCTGACGGGGCTGGAGGGACCCTATGCGGTGCCGGGAATTGAACCCAACCAAGTTCCAGATGCAAGGCAAGCGCCTTACTGTACTATCTCTCTGATCCCGCCTGATCCAACAACTTTATTGAGCTGAGAATACTTGATATTTAATACGCTGTGCATGTTTATACATTTATTTATGATTTCTTTATTTACAGTTTTTCTTATGAATAAAAACACCGAGCCTGGGGTTGGAGTGATAGCACAGCGGGTAGGGCGTTTGCCTTGCACAGGGCCGATCTGGGATCGATTCCCAGCATCCCATATGGTCCCCCAGACACCGCCAGGGGTAATTCCTGAGTTCATGTACCAGGAGTAATCCCTGTGCATTGCCAGGTGTGACCCAAAAAAGCAAAACAAAACAAAACAAAACAAAAAACCAAACCACTGAGCCTGGTGGTGGAGATGGCTCAATGAGCTGATTATCTTGCAGGAGGGTAGAATTCAATGTCCTGAGCTCTGCTGGGAGTGACCCCAGCACCTGTAGGCGTGGCCACGAAACAAGGAACAGCAACAAAAACTACCAAGACCTGATCTCTGAGTCTCAGATTTGGGGCTCTCAATTCAGGTTTTCCAATTTCCAATCACACCTATTTCTGTCATTCATTTGCATCTGCCAGATTTGTGGATGTTTATGGTACAGGAGATGCTGGCTTCTATTTCTTTCAACATCTGTGGGAGACCTGGGAATGAGGAGAGTGGGGCGGATCTGGGTGGGGGGTCCTAGTGTCCAGGGATGTTCAGCTGGGACACCGGAATTCTGACTAGTCAGTGTGAAAAAAACGAGGTGCACTGAGGTTGCGTGAGAATATGGAGAAAACCTTCCAGGAGAAATGATGGTGATGGGGTTGCAGGGTGATGGGGTTGCAGCTGTAATAGAGAGGGTGGGGTGTTTGCCTTGCACAGGGCCAACCCAGGTCCGACTCCCTGAAACACCCCCAGGGGTAATTCCTGAGCACCGCCAGGTGCGTTCCGAAAACAAAAAAGAAAGAAAAAGAAAAGAACCGAGGACAACGGGAGGAAATCAGGGATACCCTGCCGACAAACCTGGCCAAGAAACGCTTTTGGAATTCGTGCTATGGCCCCATCTACCTCTCTCCTCCTTCCGTTCATTCATTCGTGTCTTTATTTTTACAGCTTCTGGGAAACAAAGCAGGACTTCTCGGGCGCAAGACAAGCACTGTACTGCCGAGCCACGTTCTTCGCCCCCAATTTTCTTCTTACTCATTTTGACTTGGGGGGTGGCCCTAGCCGTGCTCAGGACTCACTCCGAGCTCTGTGCTCAGGGATCCTTCCAGGCACGTTGCTCAGGGGCACCCTGCGGGATATGCTGGAGCTCGAACCCGGGTCGGCGTGGTGCCAGGCCAGCGCCCTTCCCGCTGCCCTCTCTCCTGCGGCTCCCGCTGGCCCTTCCTGCCGTTCCTTTCGGCCGCGTGCCCTCCCGGAGCAGTGGCACGACCTGGGAACCGGGGAGGGTGCAGGAGCAGGTGCGACAGAGCCGCGACTCCGGACCGCGGGCGTGGAACGGGGGGAAACGGCCCGTCTCGGGGGCGGCGGCGCGCCTGGGGCATCTTCCCGGGCCCGCAGCATCGCGCCGGGCACCGAAGCCGCGTCGCTGGCCACGCGCCCTGGCGGTGCGTGCCCGGTGCCCGTCGCCGCCCGCCCCGCCCCGCCCCGCCCCGCCCCGCGCCGGGGCCGCCTCCGAAGGGCGCTGTCGGCGGGCGCCCGGGGTGCCCGGCGCCGCGCCCCCGCCGCCGCCACGTGGCCGCCCGCCCCGCGCCCGCCCCGCGCCCGCCCGCACCCACCCGGGCGCCGCAGCCCCGCGCCAGCGCCAGGTGCCCCGCGGCCCGGCCGCGCCCCGCCCCGCCCCGCCGCGCCCCGCCCCGCCCGGCCCGCGCGCGCCCATTGGCCCCGGCGCGTGCCCGTCCCGCGAGCGCGCCGCGGATTGGCCGGCCGGCGCCGGGGGCGGGCGCGCGGCGTGGGCGGGGCGGGGACCCGGATGTGCGCGGTGGCGGCGGCCGGCGAGCTCGGGAGCGCCGCGGAGAGGCCTATGGATGAGGAGGACGCGGCGGCCCCGGTAGGCGGGATCGGGGCGGGGTCCCGCGGCCGGGGGCTCGGGGCGGGCGGCCGGCGGGCGGAGCCGGCCCCGGGCGCCCCGCCGGGTCCCCGCGGGGGCGAGCGCCGCCCCTCGGCCCGGGCGGCCGGCCGGGCGCGCGGGGGCGGGGGCGGCTGTCACCGCGGGGCGGGGGTCCCGCTCGCGGGGCGCGGCCCGACCGGACGGGACCCCGGCCCCGCGCCGGGCCGGGAGGGCGGGAAGGGGAGGCGCCGCGCCGCCCCCGGGGTCGGCCCCCGGCCGGGAGGAGTGCCTTCGTTCGTTCATGCGTTCCTTCATTCATTCGTTCATTCGTTCATTCATTCATTCCCTCGGGGCATGCCCGGCCCCTGGCGCCCCCTCCCCCCCTACACTCCTCCCCATTTCCACGGCCACCGAGTGGCCAGCGCTCATCGGGGTTGCTCAGCAGCCCGAGCGGACCAGCCCTTTAAAGATCTGATCATCTTGGGTTGTGTGTGTGTGTGTGTGTGTGTGTGTGTGTGTGATCAGCCCTTTAAAGATCTGATGATCTTGGGTGTGTGTGTGGGGGGGTGGAACCAGCCCTTTAAAGATCTGATCATCTTGGGTGTGCGTGCGTGTGTGTATGTGTGTCTTGGACCAGCCCATTAAAGATCTGATCATCTTGTGTTGTGTGTGTGTGTGTTGGACCAGCCCTTTAAAGATCTGATCATCTTGGGTGTGTGTGCGTGTGTGTGTGTGTGTGTCAGATCAGCCCTTTAAAGATCTGATGATCTTGGGTGTGTGTGTGTGGCGGGGGAGGGAACCAGCCCTTTAAAGATCTGATCATCTTGGGTGTGTGTGCGTGTGTGTATGTGTGTCTTGGACCAGCTCATTAAAGATCTGATCATCTTGTGTTGTGTGCGTGTGTGTGCGTGTGTGTCTTGGACCAGCCCTTTAAAGATCTGATCATCTTGTGTATGTGTGTCTTGGACCAGCCCTTTAAAGATCTGATCATCTTGTGTTGTGTGTGTGTGTGTTGGACCAGCCCTTTAAAGATCTGATCATCTTGGGTGTGTGTGCGTGTGCGTGTGTGTGTGTGTGTGTGTTGGACCAGCCCTTTAAAGATCTGATCATCGTGTGTTGTGTTGTGTGTGTGTGTGTGTGTGTGTGGGATCAGCCCTTTAAAGATCTGATGATCTTGGGTGTGTGTGTGGGGGGGTGGAACCAGCCCTTTAAAGATCTGATCATCTTGGGTGTGCGTGCGTGTGTGTATGTGTGTCTTGGACCAGCCCATTAAAGATCTGATCATCTTGTGTTGTGTGTGTGTGTGTTGGACCAGCCCTTTAAAGATCTGATCATCTTGGGTGTGTGTGCGTGTGTGTGTGTGTGTGTCAGATCAGCCCTTTAAAGATCTGATGATCTTGGGTGTGTGTGTGTGGCGGGGGAGGGAACCAGCCCTTTAAAGATCTGATCATCTTGGGTGTGTGTGCGTGTGTGTATGTGTGTCTTGGACCAGCTCATTAAAGATCTGATCATCTTGTGTTGTGTGCGTGTGTGTGCGTGTGTGTCTTGGACCAGCCCTTTAAAGATCTGATCATCTTGTGTATGTGTGTCTTGGACCAGCCCTTTAAAGATCTGATCATCTTGTGTTGTGTGTGTGTGTGTTGGACCAGCCCTTTAAAGATCTGATCATCTTGGGTGTGTGTGCGTGTGCGTGTGTGTGTGTGTGTGTGTTGGACCAGCCCTTTAAAGATCTGATCATCGTGTGTTGTGTTGTGTGTGTGTGTGTGTGTGTGTGTGTGTGTGTGTGTGTCGGATCAGCCCTTTAAAGATCTGATGATCTTGGGTGTGTGTGTGTGTGTGTCGGATCAGCCCTTTAAAGATCTGATCATCTTGTGTTGTGTGTGTGTGTGTGAGAGAGAGAGAGAGAGAGAGGGCCACACCTGGCGGTGTTCAGGGCTTACTCCTGACTCTGCACTCAGACATCACTCCTGGCATCCCCTGGTGGGGCACCAGCCCTTTAAAGATCTGATCATCGTATGTGTGTGTGTGTGTGTGTGTGTGTGTGTGTGTGTGTGTGTGTGTGTGTGCCACACCCAGCGGTGTTCAGGTCTTACTCCTGGCTCTGCACTCGGGCCTCACTCCTGCCATCCCCGGGTGGGGCTCCGGGAACCATCTGGGTTACCCGAGATCCAGGGTGTGTGCAAGGCAGGTGCCCTCCCCATCGGACTGTCGCTTTGGCCCCGAGACCTGACCATCTGGAAGGGCATATCCTCTCCTCGTCTGAAATCTTCCGGGGCTTCCCACCAAAACTCAGAGTAAATTCGAACGCCTGCGTCCCTCCCAGCCTCTTCCCATACCTCCTCCACATTCCCTGCTCTCCTCCCTCCCTCGCCGTTGCCTGTCCTCAGCATGCCAGCTCCCTGCCACCCCCGGCCTGTGTCCTGGCTGCCGGGAAGGCTCTTTGGTGGGCTTGCCACACGTGTGGCCTCTTGACTCCTCTGTGATCTCCGCAGAGAGGCCCTCTCTGGCCACTCCGTCCAAGCGTCTTCTTTCCTTTGTTGGGGTGGGGGGTGGGGATCGCGCCAGACCCGGTTGTCCTTGGGTCTTCTAGCTCTGCACTCAGGAATCACTGCAGGACGGCTCCGGGGAACATGCAGGGTGCCGGGGAACGCACCCTGGTCAGGCAGCGTGCGAGGCAAGCCCCTGACCTGCTGGACTGTGTCTCTGGACCCTTTTTCACTTTAAAAATCGGGAAATGAGCTCATTTAATTCAGTCTGTTGCGGAAAGGGAGTTTGAGGAAAGGGGCTGGAGCGCTAGGACAGAGAGCTAGGCACTTGCCTGGCATGTGGCAGAGCCAGGTTCAATGCCCGCAATCCCAGGTGGCCCCCTGAGCACTGCCAGGAATGAACCCTGAGTGCAGAGTCAGCCCTGAGCTCTGCAGCGCCCAGCAGAAGGAAAAAGAAGAAGAAAAGAATTTCAGGAGGAGATAAAATAGTCCAGTAAAGTAGCCTTAGTGAAAGGAATTTTCGTAGATACGTGTGTGGGGGAGAAACAGAGATACGAATTCACCAGAACTTGATCTTCTTCTGAGAGGAGACATGCCCCCAGTGTTCTTCAGATCGTGTCCACGCGTTGTTCTGCAGCACTGCCCGACTCTGTCAGGGCTGTTTGCCGTGTGTCCAGCCTCCCCCTCGCGAAAGGGCACGCTCTGAGAATAGGAGTCCAGGCCATACTGTTCGCAGCTGTGTCTCGGGCTCTTGAGAGGACACATGGCAAGAGCACAGGGACTGTGGAATGAAAGGTGAGGATGTGGGCCAGAGAGGTGGCACATTGGTTACTGCACTTGCCTTGTGCTGCCACGAATGACCCCTGCCCGGAGGGCCAGGTGTAAGCCTTTTCTTTTGGGGGGGGGGTCACACCCGGCGATGCACAGGGGTCACTCCTGGCTCTGCACTCAGGAGTTACTCCTGGCGGTGCTCGGGGGACCCTATGGGATGCTGGGAATCGAACCCGGGTCGGCTGTGCGCAAGGCAAACGCCCTCCCCGCTGTGCTATCGCTCCCGCCCCCAGGTGTAAGCCTTCAGCAGTGCCGTAGGTGACCCAAAATCCAAGGGGGAAAAAAGGCAAAAAAGGCAGAGGACAAAGATTGTTGAGGTCGATCAACAAATGGCTCTGCACGCTGGCTGGAATCGACGGAGGTGCTTGTCCTCGGTCCCCACTTCCTCCTCAGCCCCTGTCTTCCCGTGGCAGGTTTGTTCTCATGAACAAGATGGACGACCTCAACCTGCACTACCGGTTTCTAAACTGGCGCCGGAGGATCCGGGAGATTCGGGAGGTTCGGGCTTTCCGGTATCAGGAGAGGTTCAAGCACATTCTTGTCGACGGAGACACTCTGAGGTAAGCCTGGAGGTGCCCTTCCACCTTTTTCTCTCCGTGCGAGACCTTTGAGCTCAATGAGCCGTTTTCAGAGGCCAGTGGGCGCCCGCACGGCCAGGGTGTGGCGAGTGGTTCAGAGGAGCTCACTCACCCGGTCCACCCTGCACGCCCCCACGCCCGTGTCGCGGGGTCCAGCCGGCTGAGATGTGGGAGCTGCCCCTTGCCTGGATAAGAGCATCTCAGTGGACCTGTGGGTGTCTGCATTCTCTCTCTCCTTTCTTTTTTGCTTTTTGGGTCACACCTGGTGATGCCCAGGGGTTCCTCCTGGCTCTGCAGTCAGGAACTATCCCTGGCGGTGCTCAGGGGACCCTATGGGATGCTGGGAATCGAACCCGGGTCGCCCGTGTGCAAGGCAAATGCCCTTCCCACTGTGCTATCGCTCCAGCCCGTCTGGATCTCTTTCTGCCCGTCTCGGGGGCTGGGTTTGGAGAAGAGTGGCCGTCTCAGAAGAGGAGTTTTTCCTCTTTGGGGAAGGACATTTGGTCAGTGCATCCTGCCTACTGCCTTTCGAACCTTTAGTTTCTTTCTTTATTTTTATTTATTTGGGGGGGCACTTCTGACGCTGTACTCGGGGATCACTCTTGGTGGGCTTAGGGGACTGCTGTGTGCCAGGCAAGCACCCTGCCCGATGAATTATCGCCCCAGGCCCTAGTTTGTCTGTTTAATGTTTGTTTTCTCTGACTCAAACTCCATCCCCGACTCTGGAGTCCGAGTCCCTCACAGAGTTGTCACTGCAGGGGTCATGGAAATTACATTCTTTGGAGCGGGAGGGAAGGCCTCTGAGGAGCGGGCGTCGGGTGCCAGTCTGAGGAGACCAGCCGGTCTCTGGTCCTCTGCCAGCCAGAAGATAAGGGCTGCAGGGATAGAGGCTCCGCCTGATATCAGGCTCCAGGGGCCCCTGAGAGGGTGTTTTTTTTTTTTTTTTTTTTTTGTCTTTTGGGTCACACCCGGCAATGCACAGGGCTTACTCCCGGCTCTGCACTCAGGAATTACTCCTGGCGGTGCTCAGGGGACCATATGGGATGCTGGGAATCGAACCCGGGTCGGCCACGTGCAAGGCAAACGCCCTCCCCGCTGTGCTGTCACTCCAGCATGTGCTTCTTTTGGAAACGGAGGGGGCCCAGGTCTGAACAGACTTGTCTTCTGAGGCGTGGCTTGGACAGTGGCTGGAAGCCCCGGAGGGGAAGGGTGGCCGCGAGTCTTGTCTCGGGCTGTTGAAAGGGAGTGAGGATGTGAACCAGAGAGGTAGCAACGATGTCGGGCTAGGGTGCCTACAGGTGCCCGACCTGTGGCCTGCTGGGCGCTTGGCAGGGCTGGCCCTTGCCGGGTGCGATCTGGGGACACGGAGGCCCTCCCCCCAATTCCTGGGTCATGCTGCTAACGCAACTCCTCATCCTTCCTGTAGTTACCATGGAAACTCTGGTGAAGTTGGCTGCTATGTGGCGTCTCGGCCCCTGACCAAGGACAGCAATTATTTCGAGGTGATCAGGGCAGCGGTTGGGCAGAGCAGGGGTGAGAGGCGCCTCAGCTCGTGCCGGCTTCGGGATCGGGTCCCTCGATTGGCGCCTGGTAGAAGGACCTGAGAGACAGGTGCCCAGGTGCCCTGTCACCGGCCCCTTTGGCTTTCCCGACCCCACCTAAGCGGAGTGACCTTACCCTCTCCCACCTGCTCTCCTAAGCCCGGCGTGATCCCATTTCCTACCTTTTCCATGGCTTGGAGATTCCATCCTTTTTCTCTTTCACTTGGCGGGGCGGGGTAGTGGTTGGGCCGTACCCAGGAGTGCTCTGAGCTCACTCAGGATTCGCTCTGGGCGGGGCTCTGGGGATGCCTCCGTGGTGCTGGAGATTGAACCAGGCTTGGTCATGTGCAAGGCAAGTGCCTTCTCTGCTGTACTATCCCTCCAGTCCCCTTGGAAATTATTATTATTTTTTTGGGTTTTTGGGTCACACCCGGCGATGCACAGGGGTTACTCCTGGCTCTGCACTCAGGAATCACCCCTGGCGGTGCTCGGGGGACCCTATGGGATGCTGGGAATCGAACCCGGGTTGGCCGCGTGCAAGGCAGATGCCCTACCCGCTGTGCTATCACTCCAGCCCCCTTGGAAGTTATTTTCTAAGTAAGAATAAGAAAGTCACCCCCACACCGGTGCTGGGAAATGTACAGTGGTGGAGGGATGGGTGTTAGAATACTGTACGCCTGAAATCCAATCGTAAACGGCTTTGTGATGCTCTAAAAATAATAATAATAATAATTAATAATAATAAAAGAAAGCCACCCTCCCCCCTCAGTCCCCAGCACTTCCTCCAAGTGTCCTGTCTTTCCCTCCAGTCCGTACGCTTTCCTTTAGTTCAGCCCCATGCGATGCCTCACTCCCGCTTCCAGCAGTGCCCCCCGGCCCCCACCCCCTTTCCCCGGCCCTGCTGACTGTTCTCTGCCCTCCAGGTGTCCATCGTGGATAGTGGGGTCCGGGGCACCATCGCCGTGGGGCTGGTCCCGCAGTACTACAGCTTGGATCACCAGCCCGGCTGGCTGCCGGACTCCGTGGCCTACCACGCTGATGATGGCAAGTGAGTTGTCCTCGGGGGGAACCGGCCGATGCCTTTACTCTGGATTCTGGTTTTCCTGATCTGGAGAGGAGAGCGGTCTGACAGCTACCTGGGGATGTTTGCAGACGTGGAGGGGGGGGCGGGGTGGGGCCTGCCCTCATGTCAGGGCCGGTAGATGACATGTGACACCATGTGACAGGGACTGGGAGGCAGGAGACGTGACCTCTGCTGCCAGTGCCGGGGGCGGGGGTGGGGGGCCAGGCACGGGGTCCCTATCTTGGCTGATCTGTCCACAGGCTGTACAATGGTCGGGCCAAGGGCCGCCAGTTTGGGTCAAAGTGCAACTCTGGGGACCGGATTGGTTGCGGCATCGAGCCCGTGTCCTTTGACGTGCAGACCGCCCAGATCTTCTTCACCAAGAACGGGAAGCGGGTGAGTGGGGAGCACTAGACCCTGGGACTGAGCGGCCAGAGCCTGCCAGTGGGGCTTGCCCAGGGACTGCCCAGCCACTTTCCTCCAGCCCTGCCTCAGGTACTTCGGGAGCAGAAGATTCTTCTGTGCTGGAGACGTTTGCCCAGTCCAGGAATGGGACGTCACCCTGGTGTGGACGGGGAGGGCATGTGGATGCAGTGGGAGAGGGGCAGGAATTGTAGGGGACAGGATTGGGTGATTAGGGGGAAGGTCAGGAGCAGGAAACAGAGGGGGAAGATGATAACAGGTGCCGATGCGAGTGGTCCTTGTTTGGTTACATTTTGTTAATTTTTTTTTTGGGGGGGGAGGTCACACCCAGCGATGCTCAGGGGTTCCTCCTGGCTTTGCACTCAGGAATCACTCCTGGCGGTGCTCGAGGGACCTTATGGGATGCTGGGAATCGAACCCAGGTCGGCCGCATGCAAGGCTAATGCCCTCCCCGCTGTGCTATTGCTCCAGCCCCTGCATTTTGTTGATTTTTAGGGTTGGAGAGATGGTCCAGTGGGAAAAGCACTTGCCTTGCCCGCACCTAACCCAGTTCGATCTCTGGTATCCCATCTGGTGATTCCTAAGTGATTCCTAAGTGCAGAGGCAGGCGTGACCCCTAAACTTCCCTGGGTGTGACCCAGAAACTAAACTAAAATATATGTATTTGCACTGTTGGAGGTATTGTCGTTTTGTCGTTTTTAGTACCTTTTTGGCTCTGGCCTGTCTTTGGATTCTTTTTTTTTGCATTTTTGGGTCCGACCCGGCGATGCACAGGGGTTCCTCCTGGCTCATGCACTCAGGAATCACCCCTGGCGGTGCTCAGGGGACCCTATGGGATGCTGGGAATCGAACCCAGGTCGGCCGGCCGTGTGCAAGGCAAACGCCCTCCCCGCTCTGCTATTCCTCCAGCCGTCCCCCCCATCTTTGGATTCTTGAATTGGGTCCCTTGGAGCATCCTTTTTGCATTTTGTCTTCCTCGTTTTCACTTGGCCTTTCCTTCCTTCTAAGACTGAGTGGTGAGGAGACGTGGTAAGAGCAGGTTGGCTAGAAAGGCCCCAGCTCTGCCTCTCCAGCTCTGTCTCCTGCCGCGGCCCTAGCAAGGCGCTGGTCCCTCACCTGCCCTGCGGACTCTCCTGCCGCTGGGCGTTTGCACACACCTCCAGCAAGCCAGGGGCCTCTGGCAGCCTTTCAGCTCCATGGAAACCTTGTGCAGCCTGAAAGACTTCACAACAGTGTTTTGTTTGTTTGTTTGGGGGCCACGCCCGGTGATGCTCAGGGGTTTCTCCTGGCTCTGTGCTCAGGAATTCTTTCTGGTGATGCCTGGTGACCGGATGGGGTGCCGGGGGATCGAACCCAGGTCGGCCACAGGCGGACGAGCACCCTACCCCCTGTGCTCTCTCTCTAGCCTCTTAGCAACATTTGTGGGGGGACAGAGGTCTGCCAGGAAACCCAGGGCCTCGTGCTTGTGAGACGTGCTTCTTCCCACTGGGCTGCATGCTGGGCCCTGGATCAGCAACTCCGGGGCCTCACTGGATCGCTATTCTTCCTGTCTGCCACTGTCTAGAGTGATTACCTGCTGCGGCCTCTCGGGACCCCCAGGAGGGCTGGGAAGAGTGCATCGGCAGGTCCCCCTGTCCCTCTGTTGCAGGTGGGCTCCACGATTATGCCCATGTCTCCAGACGGGCTGTTCCCGGCAGTGGGGATGCACTCCCTGGGCGAGGAGGTCCGCCTGCACCTCAACGCCGAGCTGGGCCGGGAGGATGACAGCGTCATGATGGTGGACAGTTACGAGGACGAGTGGGGCCGGCTGCATGACGTCAGGGTCTGCGGAACTGTGAGTAAGGGGCAGGGGGCCACACCGAACCCCCGAGCACACCGCTGCTTCTGATTGTCTCGGGTGTGGATGGGAAGCGAGGCCTTTGCGGGAATTGCAGAAGTGAGAGTTGTCGCCGGCTAGTTGTGGGCTTGGCTGGGCTTCTTGTTTTCTTTCTTTTTTTTTTTTTTTTGCTTTTGGGTCACACCTGGCAATGCACAGGGATTACTCCTGGCTCTGCACTCAGGAGTTACTCCTGGCGGTGCGCAGGGGACCATATGGGATGCTGGGGATCGAACCCCGGTCCGTCGCAAGGCAAACGCCCTACCCGCTGTGCTATCTCTCCAGCCCCTGCTGGGCTACTTGGAGTTCAGCTCGAGGCGTCTCCAGGGCTGGTTCTCCTTGCCCTTCCCTGAGAGGGCTCAGGTGAGTTGCTTTAGCTGAGAACTATCACCTGTTCTTGGATCCCACCTGGCGGTCCTCCAAAGCTGCTCCTGTTCCAGTGCTCAGGGGGCCATGCCATGGTGGGGCTTGATCCTGGGCCTCCTACGTGCAAAGATGAGTCTTGCCCAGGGAGCATCTTTCTGGCCCTGGAAGTTTCTTCACCTGCTTTGGTTCCTTTGGCTTCTGACGCCCACTGCTGCCTCTCCCACTTGCCTTTGAGAGGCTCGGGATGGGATGCAGGATGCCCGGCCTCCCGCATCGCCGCTGTCCCAGCTCAGCACCCTACCCGCTGTTCTGTGGCCCTGGTACTGGGGCGTTGAGACTTTGTTGCTTTGAGACTCTGTTGCGTGTCGGCATATCTCTACCTACATTCCGGATTTCTTTTGTTCCCTTCATGGGGTCGTGCCCGCTGGGCCTGGGGGCTACTCCCAGCAGCTCTTGGGGTACCGTGGGGGACCAGGGAGGGAATCTGGGCCTCCTATAGCCTTGATTCTTTCGTTTTGGCAGTGCCGGGACGTGCATGTGGGAAGGGGCCTTGCACATGGGCACACACAGCAAGGTGCTATGCTGCTGACCTCTGCCCCTTCCATTTTACAGAGGATGTAGAGTCAGGGAGAATTCTTTTTTTTTTTGCTTTTTGGGTCACACCCGGCGATGCACAGGGGTTACTCCTCGCTCTGCACTCAGGAGTTACTCCTGGCGGTGCTCGAGGGGCCCTATGGGATGCTGGGAATCGAACCTGGGTCGGCCGCGTGCAAGGCAAATGCCCTACCCGCTGTGCTATCGCTCCAGCCCCAGGGAGAATTCTTGACCCTCAAGTTTGCTGTTTTTGGGGCCGGAGACAGTGTGCAGGGTGTCTGCCTTGCACATGGCCGACCCGGGTTCGGTCCCTGGCATCCTGTATGGTCCCCTGAGCACCGCCAGGACTGATTCCTGAGTGCAGAGCCAGGACTAAGCCCTGAGCATTGCTGGTGTGACCCAAAAAGAAAAAAAAAATTGCTTTTTTTTTTTTGGCAGGAGGGTGTGTGTACGTGCAGATTCAGGGCCACGCCCAAAGGTGTTCAGGGCTCCCTCCTGGCTCTGAACTCAGAGGGTCACTCCTCGAAGGGTCAGGGAACTGTGTTTAGTGCTGGCGACTGAACCAGAGTTAGCCACGTGCAAGGCAGATGGCCTCGGCCCTGCGTCTGGGCTTGCCTTTTTTAATGCATCTTTTTTTTTCCTTTTTGGGTCACACCCAGCTCTGGATGCTCAGGGGTCATTCCTGGCTCTGCACTCAGGAATCACTCTTGGCGGTGCTTGGGGGACCATATGGGATGCTGGGGATCGAACCCGGGTCCGCCGCTAGGCAAACGTTTGCAAGGCAAACGCCCTACCCACTGTGCTATCGCTCCGACCCCAATGCATCTTTTTAAACGTACCTGCTATCGTCCTTCCTTGAATTTTAAGCTTTCTTGGGAATCCTCTAAGCCTCGAGAGGGGAAAATTTTTCCCCCTCTCGCCCCTGGGCCGCATGCTGGTGGGGGGTGGTGGTGAGCGGCTGCCGGGTCAGGGGTCTGGCCCTGACTGCCGTGGGCCGCTCCGGCCTCCTACTTCGAATTGTCCCTCTGCTGCCCTCCTGCTCCTGACTTGACCTCCTCCCCGCCACCCCCTCGGCCTCCTCACCCCAACCGAGGCTGTTTTCCACTCAGCCTCTGATAACAAAACAGAAGCAGTGGGGGGTGGGAGTGGACTCTGAGCACGCCTCCCCCACTTCTGGCGTGAGTGGAACTTGGGAGCAGAGCGGGCCCCTGCACTGCCTCCCCAGGGCTGCGAAGGCTCCGGGCCAGGACCCAGGGATGCCCACTCCTTGACCTTCCTCGGTCCCCCTTCCACCACCGTTTGGACGTCTCCGGAGCTGAGCTTGGGACCGAGCCCGGGCCACGTTCCAGTGCTTATCCCTGACCTCTCCTCAACAGTTTTCTCCCGGCATCCTTTCTCTGCCTGGACCTGTCCCCGCTCTGCCCCGGCTCCTCCCCGGCAACCTTTTCCTCTGGATACAGAATCCTGTCCACGTTTATAAATAGCCTGCCCTCCCCACTTGCCCATGGGCCCCCGCGTCGGAGGAATTTTTCTTTCTTAGATAGAAGCCATGGGGTGTGGCTCCTCTCGCCAACCCTCCCCCTGGCCTGGGGCAGCCGGCAGGGCGGGCTCTGCCCTCAGCTCCACTCTCGATGCTCTGGGGCAGGTGTGGGCAGACGCTCTTGAGAGTCACGTGCCTCTCGTCTGGTCTAGGTCGCCCTCCTCCCCTGTCTCTAGGCCTCTTCCTTCAGTTCCCCCTGAGCCTTTTGTCTGTCCAGGGGAGGCGGGGGTGGTCCTTTGGGCCGGGCCCAGGGGTCTTGTTTCTGTCTTTTTTTATTTTTTTGCTTTTTGGGTCACACCCGGCGATGCACAGGGGTTCCTCCTGGCTCATGCACTCAGGAGTTACTCCTGGCGGTGCTCAGGGGACCAGATGGGATGCTGGGATTCGAACCTGAGTCGGCCGTGTGCAAGGCAAACGCCCTCCCCGCTGTGCTATCGCTCCAGCCCCAGGTTTCTTGTTTCTTGATGTCTGATGCAGCTGTTTCTCCTTCCTGCCTTTCCTGATCTCTACCTTCTTCCGGACCATCTGCTGTCAGGGAAGCCTCCCTGGGGCTTGGTCGCCATAGAACTCCCTTGAACGATGAAGGGTTCCCCCACACACACCTTTTTGTTTTTGCCCTGGCTCTGGGATCACTCAGAGATCACTTCTGGCAGGCTTGAGGGATCAAGTGGGGTGCCAGGGATCGAACTTGGGCTGGCCACGTGCAAGGCAAATGCTGTGCTATTGCTCCAACCTCTTTTCTTTCTTTCTTTCTTTTTTTTTTTTGGTTTTGGGTTTTGGGTCACATCTCTGCTCAAGGATCACACTCCTGGCAGGGCACAGGAGCTCAGACCGGGTGCTGGGGATTGAACTTGGGTCTGCAGCATCCAAGGCAAGCTCTCTGGCCCCTAGAGCAGGTGCACTGCGTGTGGAAGTCCCAGCTGTGCTCTCTGGTACTGCCACTATATGGTCCTTGAACACTGAATGGGAAATAGCCCCTGAGCACTGCTGGGTATGGCATCCATCAAAAAAAAAAAAATCCTGTTTCTCCTCCATCAGTTTCATCAGGAAAGATTGCAGATGGGTGCAGGGGCTGGACCATAGTGCAGGGGGTAGGGTGCTGCCTTGCAGCCAACCAGGGTTTGATTCCTGGCACCCTACTGGGTCCCTGATCCCTGAGTGCAGAGCTAAGAGAAACCCCTGAGCACTGCCAGGTGTAGTCTCAAAAAAAAAAATTGCAGTTAAGTTAAAAAAAAGTAATACAGGGGCCGGAGTGATAGTACAGTGGGGAGGGCTTTGCCTTGCACCTGGCCAACCTGGGTTCAATCCCTGGTGTCCCATATGGTCCCCTGAGCACCGCCAGGAGTAATTCCTGAGTGCAGAGCCAGGAGTGACCCCTGAGCATCGCCAGATGTGACCCAGAAAGCCAAAAGAAACTAATAATGATAATCACTGTACCACTGTCATCCCGTTATTCATCGATTTACCCAAACGGGTGCCAGTAACGTCTCCATTCGTCCCAGCCCTGAGATTTTTTTTTTTTCAATTTTTATTAGTGAAACACCGTAAGGTGCAGTTGTAGACTTACAGATTTTTGTGCTTGGGTTTCAGTTATACAATGATCGAGTACCCATCCCTCCACCAGTGCCCATTCTCCACCACCACTGATCCCAATATCCCTCCCACCCCCATCCCCCTCATCCCATCCCACCTCTGTGGCAGGGCATTCCCTTTTGTTCTCTCTCTCCTTTTGGGTCCTGTGGTTTGCAAGAGAGGCACTGAGTGGCAATCATGTTTGGTCTATAGTCTACTTTCAGTGTGCTTCTCCCATCCTGCCGCCCTGAGATTTTATCAGTGTCTCCTAACTTGTCTTTCCCAATATATTGGAGGCTCTTTCGGGTTCATTTTCAGGGGAATGAGACCATTGTTACTGTTTTTGGCATATCGAATACGCCATGGCTAGCTTGCCAGGCTCTGCTGTGTGGGTGGGATACTCTTGGTAGCTTGCTGGGCTCTCCGAGAGGCACATATATGTTTCCCTCTATGATTTGTTGCCTCCTGTCTGAACCCCATCAACGATGGTGTGGTAATTGTGGAAGATGGGTAGGGAGTATCTTATGATATGTCCAGGAATATGTTCACTCACCTGTGAGACTCGGCCCGAGCGTGTGGAAAGTGGCCTGGAGCGTGGCGGCGGTTGGGTAGTGGAGGTCGGGGGCTGGGGCTGGGTCCCTTGGGCAGGGAGGGCTCTCCCCCCTCCCCCCCAGGCACCCCAAGTGAAAACAGCCTGGCACGGAGTCCATTACAATAATAATAATACAGATAATATAGTGACTCCACCTGCTAGCCAGGTGGCTGTGTGGGTTTCATGGAAGCGTCTAGAGATGGACAGACCCGGCCCTTTCCTGAGTGGGCGCCTCCTGGGCTTCCTGTGGCCCCATTTGCTCCCCGAGGAGCCCCTGGTCGTGACGGAGTCGCCAGTGCCAGTGCCGAGCGGTGGCTGACCCTGCCCTCAGACCAGCTTCAGGCCCCGCAGTGAGGCCTTGTGTGAGTGGGGGTTCAGCTGCTGAATTGGGGGTGTGATCACCTCTCGGCTTCTGGATCCCGGCTCCTCCGACCGCTCCCTAGTGACGGGGCAACAGCTCGGGAGTGGGGCGCGGCCTCTCAGGGGTCCTGCCCAGACCCACCCAGACGAGGCCGTGTTGGGGCCTGACCGATGGGGAGCAAGTTCTTGGTTCTTGTCTCAGCTGCTGTTGGCCCTGGGGCGCTGAGCCCGCCCTGGCTGCTGTCAGAAGGGATTAGGGTCTCTGCTGGCAAGCGGGGCAGGGCAGATACCAGGCGTGGCTGCCTCTGGAGACGGTGGGTGGGGGAGGGGTGGGCTCGAGACCCCCAAGGAAAGCATCCTCCCTTCCTCTGCCACGGTGCAGCAGAGACAGGAGGGAAGGCTCTTACGACCGAGACTTAAACCCGAAAGCTTTGTGAGTGCTCTCACAGTGATTCAATGAAGAAAATGATAAAAAAAAAAAAAAGGGAAAAAAAAAAGTAAGGTGGAGTTCATGCCCAATTCAATCAGCTAATCAGTGGCTGAATAAATAGCAATACTCCTACATAAAAAGAATAAAAAAAGAAAAAGGGAAAGGAGGGAATGCCCTGCTTTGCATACGATCGGCCCTGGTTTGGTCTGCAACACAGCTTACGGTCACTTCGGAACACTGCAAGGTCTGCGCCTCCCCCCACCCGCCTGACCCCTGACAAAAACAAAGAATTGGAGGGGCTGGAGCGATCTCACAGCGGGGAGGGCGTTTGCCTTGCACGCAGCTGACCCGGGTTCGATTCCCAGAATCCCATGTGGTCTCCTGAGCACCGCCGGGAGCGATTCCTGAGTGCAGAGACAGGAGTAACCTCTGAGCATTGCCAGGTGTGACCCAAAAAGAAAAAACAAAAGAAAACAAAACCAAGAATTGGAGAGGGAAGCTCCTCTTGTTAGAGCATTGAGGTGAAAGATTGGCCCCGGTCAGTTGGCTGGTTGGGGCTTGAGTCATCTGTCTTGGGGGGATTGTTCTGTTTGGAGGCCTGAGGGGTGACCGTCACTCCCCACGCTGGGAGCGACAGCTGGGTCTGTTCAGCCGTGTGCTGTCGGCGTATCACCTGGGGCCTCCAGGCTTAGGAAAAGGCAGAGTGTGTGTGGTTGACCTGCTGGCGGTCGGGCTCCCTTCGTCAGCCCGCTCACCCGGCTTGGGGGATGCAGGGAGCGAAAGCCCATTTTGCTGGGGAACACGAGGCTCGAGGAAGGGAAGGTGTGGGTCAGCCCCCTGAGGTGGCAGGCACCCGGAGCACAGTACCAGGAGTAACCCCTGAGCCCCACGGACGTGGCCCCGAAAACCAAGGAAGGAAAAAAGCGAAGGTTTGGGTTGGGGAGTCGGCCCAGAGGGCTGAGAGTGATCGAATAGGGAAGCTCCGGACCCCTCCCCCCACCCGCGGTTCCCAGGGGACCCACAGGTTCTGAAGGCCGCTTGCTTGAGGTCAGAGACGAGAATGTGATGAGTCGGCTTCGAGCTCAGGTCAGCTGGATTCTCTCGCCCTGAGAGGCCTCCGGGCAGCCAGTCACTCTCACTCTGGGGCAGGGGTCTCGAGGACGGGGAGGACGGTGCCTAGGACAGGTGAGCTGGCGCTCTGGGTGAGCTGGCGCTCCCATCCTGCCCCGGCCCGGCGGGGGCGTGTCCTCTCCTGGCCACCGCATGGTGGACGCCTCCCGCCCTGTCCACAGACAGGACGGAGGATGGGGGAAGGGGGGGAGGCTCTTGCCAGGACCTGCATCGGGACTGGCTGTTTCTGGGCTCTAGGGTGGGAGCGTGTTGCTTTCTCGTGCCGGGGCCAGTTGGATGGCGGGACCAAGTGCAGCTGTGGGACCCCCCTGGCCGCAGACTGCTGGCCGGTGTGGGGAGATGGGGGAGAACCCCTGGCTGAGAGGCAGGACGTGGAAGGCCGTGAGCAAACCTCAGGAGGGTGTGGGCTGGGGCTGGAGCAATAGCACAGCGGGGAGGGCGTTTGCCCTGCACGCGGCCGACCCGGGTTCGATTCCCGGCATCCCATAGGGTCCCCTGAGCACTGCTCAGGGGTAATTCCTGAGTGCAGAGCCAGGAGTAACCCCTGTGCATCACTGGGTGTGATCCAAAAAGGAAAAAAGAAAAAGAGGGTGTGGGCCTCAGTTGGTCCTCGGTCCCCAGGTGGGGGCCTCTAGGGGCCCCGTTTCTGGTGGCAGCAGCATGGTGTGATGGAGGAGAGGGGGTGGCGTGTATGTGTCAGAGGCGATGGGGTCTGGTGTGGGTTAGGTGTGTCCACCCATCGCCGCCTTCCCGGAGCCCCCACTTCCTGCCTGGAGAGGAAGGGTGGGGGGAGGACCAGAGTGGCAGGTTTTGGGGACCCAGGGCCGAGGGGGGACCACTGGGTGAGGTGGCGTGGTGGCAGACACCCCGGTGCCAGCCAGCCTCATTCCTTTCCTGCCCGGGCAGGAGAGGGGGGCGAGAGGGCCGCGGTCCAAGGCCTGCCGGGGTCCCGGGCTGCGTGCTCTCTCGGGGTTGGGGGGCTGGGAGGGGCGAGGAAAGTCTTCAGGGGCAGCTTGACTCATTAAAAAGGGATTAAGGGATCCCAGGTGATGTGGAGGGTGGGGAGGAGGGGCTGAGTCATCCCCCCCCCGTTCCCATGACAACTGATAAATAAATCCTCCCAGGCTGGGGGTGGCCGCCCTGTCTTGCCCAGGCAGGACCCTGGTGGGCCTGGAGAGCCGGGAGAGCCCCAGCTGTCGGTTTTGGCCCCCCCTCCCCTGCTTCTGCCTGGAAGGGTCATGGGGGGCTGCCCCACCCGCCCCACCCGCCCCGGCGCCCAGTGCAGGGCAGAGTCGCTGCTGGCCGGGGCTCCTGGCGCTCGGCACCTCGCGGGTGGGCCCAGCTCGGAAGGGCCCAGGCCCAAGCCGGCTGAAGGGGGGACCTGGAGAAATGTTGCCAGCCCCTCCAGGCGGGATTGGCTCCCGCCGGCTCTCCCCTCCCCAAACATCTGTGTTGGCACAAACCTCTGCCCCGTCCCTAACCCCGCCAGTCCCCCCAGAGGCGTCAGGCTTCCTCTTCCCCCATCTCTGCCTTTCCTTTTCTCTCACTCAGGGCTGGGGTGGAGCTTCCTCACGGGGACAGGCCGCAGGGTGAGTGGGGAAGTGAGGCCATAGCCTGGAGGCCGTACAGGCACGCACGCAGTCAGGCACACACGTGGAGGCACGCACGCACAGGTGGGCACACACTCGGGCACGCACACGGGCACGCACACACTCAGGCAGGAACACACTCAAGGCTCACACGCACTCAGGCACACACAAGCGCAAACGCACTCCGGCACACACACAGAGTCACACGCACGCAGTCGCACACACACGGACACACAGGTACGCACACTGGCACGGGCGCTCTTGCAGGCAACCCCCGGCGGGCTGTGCTGGTCGGTAAAGCCAGAGACCCCCGGCCATCTGCACGTGCTGTGGTGGCGGGCTCAGCCTTCCTGTTCTGCTGCTCCCGTCCTCTCCCGCTGGCTCTCCCGGGCCTGCTCGGATCACGGGGCCTCTGGCGTCCTTCGCTCTCGGGAATCAGGGCCCTGGGCTGCCGGGGAGGGAGGGGCAGGGTCGGCGTCGGCCCCCACAGCACCCCCTGCCCCGCTCTTCCTCCAGCTGCTGGAGTACCTGGGCAAGGGCAAGAGCATCGTGGACGTTGGGCTGGCCCAGGCCCGGCACCCGCTGAGTACCCGGAGCCACTACTTTGAGGTGGAGATCGTGGACCCCGGAGAGAAGTGCTACATTGCCTTGGGGCTGGCGCGGAAGGTCAGCTGCTGAGCGCGGAGACGGGTGTGTGTGTGTGTGTGTGTGTGTGTGTGTGTGTGTGTGTATGTGTGTGTGAGTGTGTGTGACTGTATGAGAGTGTGTGTGGGAATGTGGGAGGGCGCAGGAGACACTGGGACTGGGTTCGAGGGAGGCTGTTAACCAGGGGGCTTAGGACCTGCACCCCACATTCTGCGTGTGGACAGAAGTAGCCTGTGGTCCTGACAGGAAGCCAAGCACCTTCCTCCTGTCCTTCCCCCTGTCCTCCCCGCTGTCCTTCCCCCTTCGCCCTCCCTGGCCCCCACCCTTGCAGCCTCGAGAGGCCAGCTGGGGGGGAGGCTGGCCCGGGGAAGGTTGAGGATCGCAGGCCCGGGTGTTTTCCTGGTGATATGCTGGGCTTGTTTTTCTGGGTGCAGGACTACCCCAAGAACAGACACCCCGGCTGGAGCAGAGGGTCCGTGGCTTATCACGCAGGTATGTTGGGGACAAGCTGGGCGGGTGCCGGACATGCCCTGGTCCGAGTCCCTCGCACACGGCCGGCCGGGGGCGCCCTTCGGGCTGCGGGGCCTTTCTCCTCCTTTCTGTTTTCCCTCCAGCGGTGCTGAGAGCCGCGAGGGCAGCGCAGGGGCCGGGCTCGGGCCGAGTGGACATTCCAGGCCTCTGAGTTGGCCCCCTCTGTGCCTCGCCTGCGGATTCTGCAGTTTCTTTTTTTGGTTGTCTTATTTCCTTTCTGGCTTTCTGAAGAAAAAAACAAACGCTGAGTTTCTGTCTCGCCATGGGCCCTGCTTCCTCCCCCTCTGCACCCCCCCAAGGGAGGCCCCTTAGCCCTTTGATGTGCCTTTCAACCCGGAGGCCCCCCTCCCCCCCACACCCCGGCACCTTGTCCCCTCCCTTCCCTGGGCCAGGAGAAGTGGGCTCAGGTCGCCCGCAGGAAGGAAGGAGGGTGTCCCCGTGCTCCTTCAGGGGTGCTCTGCTCCCTCCGACAGATGACGGGAAGATCTTCCACGGCAGTGGTGTGGGGGACCCGTTTGGGCCACGCTGCTACAAGGGGGACATCATGGGCTGTGGAATCATGTTCCCCCGCGACTACATCCTGGACAGTGAGGGTGAGTGGGGGCAGGGCCTGGCCGGACTGGTGGGGCAGGGGGTGGGGGGTGGGGTGGGGGAGCACACCAGCTCAGCAATCTCCCTTCTCCCAGGTGACAGCGACGACAGCTGTGACTCCGTGATCCTGTCCCCGACGGCCCGGGCCGTCCGGAACGTCCACAACGTCATGTACCTGCACCAGGAGGGGGACGACGACGAGGAGGATGAGGAGGAGGACGATGGGGAGGAGATTGAGCAGGAGCACGAGGGGAAGAAGGTGGTGGTGAGTGGGGGGGTCTCAGGGTGGGTGCTGGGGGCCGCTGGGGTAGGCGTGCGCGTCCCAGGGCCCAGCCTCAAGCGCCCTCTGGTGGCCGCTGCCCGCCACACCCTCAGCCGCCCCTGGGGGCCGGGCTGGGGGCTGTGTGGTTGGTTAGTCCCGCACCCAGGGGGGACACGGAGCCGCCGGCCCCACCGCCTCCCTGCCGCCCCCTGCAGGTCTTCTTCACTCGGAACGGCAAGATCATCGGGAAGAAGGACGCGGTGGTCCCCGCGGGGGGCTTCTTCCCCACCATCGGGATGCTGAGCTGCGGAGAGAAGGTCAAAGTGGACCTGCACCCCCTAAGTGGCTAGGGGCAGGGCCAGGGACCAGCTCCTGACTTGCCCAGGAGTGGGGCGCCCAGCCCGCTCAGGGGCCCCGGGGTGGCCGCTCAGGCCTCCGAGCGTCCGGCCGGGTGCTGCCCCTCTGCAGTGCCGGGTCGGACAGGATCAGGGCCAAAGAATGCTTGCTCGCTTGGGGGGGTCCCGCTGGCTCTGCTGGTGGCCCCCTGTGCCCCCCACCACGCCCCCGTCCCCCCGGCCCCAGTGGAGAGGAGTGCGCCCCTGTCTCGGCTGCTACTCGGGCCCCGAGGCCCGGAGGGAGGAGCGGACACTCCTGGCCGGCCCCGCTGCGGCTCCCCGCGCCCAGGTTGCTGCTGGCAGCCCCCTTGGGTGGGCTGGGGGGCCCGAGTGGGCCCCGTCCCTCACGACTGTCGGTCGTCCAGGGAGACCCCGCTAGGTCCCTGCTCTCCCCGCCCTCCCCAGGCTGGTCCCCTAGTCCCCTGGGGAGGCGAGTCTCCGGGGGGCTGGGAGGGCCCCAGGGCCTTGGCACCTGCCTCCCCGACCCCCTCTCCCCGACAAGCAGCCCAGACCCTGGTGCCCGTCTCTCCTGCTGTGAGGTGCCCCCGCCTCGGCACCGCCCCAGTTTACTGCCTGTGCCAGTTGCCTGTGTTGCCTCAGTGTTTGGTTCTAGTTCCGTGTGTCTCCCTTCTCCCCTCTGGCCCTGACCCCTCCTCGTACAGTGACTTCCCTGGGAGGAAGGGGAGTGGGCGCCTGGCCGTGGTTTGCACAGAGTGGGGGGGCGGGGGTGTCGTGCTGCTGGTGTCCCCGCGGCCCCTCTCCTGCCCCTGGGCCTGCACTATGATGTAAGAAATGTATGTACAGACCAGAGATGTTTATACCGCCAATAAAGACGGAGTTTCCGTATTTATCAGTACGGAGGGACCCGGCGTCCTTCCCAGCGCATCGGGCAGGGCCAGGGTCGGAGCTGGGGCAGTGGCGGGCAGCGCGCTCATCTGCGACCAGTGTGATGCCCCGGCGGGCCCGAGACACCCTCCGGGAACCTTTCTCCCCAGACACGGGGCCCCGTCCTGCCCCCTGCCAAAGGCACAACTCCAACTCGACTCAGTTATAGAAATCTTGGGCTGGAGAGATAGCACAGCGGGGAGGGCGTTTGCCTTGCACGCGGCCGACCCGGGTTCAATTCCCAGCATCCCATATGGTTCCCTGAGCACCGCCAGGGATAATTCCTGAGCGCAGAGCCAGGAGGAACCCCTGTGCATTGCCGGGTGTGACCCAAAAAGCAAAAAAAACACAAAGTTATAGAAATCTTTATTATTAGACAAAAATAGACTCTTTCCCCTCCCTTTCCATGAGATTCCACTCCGGTCTCTCTGCTTGGAGGGGCAGCAGAGGACGCGGGCCGGCCTCCCCACACCGCCCCTCGTCCGTTTCCCTTTCGGGGGTGGGGGGCTGGCGTCCTGCCGGTGCGGCTGTCCCCTCCCCTCTGTCCAGGGCCCCGCTGCGGAGGCCTCCTCACGCTTCGACCCTTCTCTGCCATCTGCTCACGTGCAGGGTCCTCTCCCCGGCGCGACCACTCAGCACAGCAGCGGGGGCGGGGCGGGCGCGGGCCGAGCCGGGGGTCCACTCCCCCCCTGCCCGGGGCCAGGGGAAGCGAGGGCTGTGAGGTGCCGGGAGGGGTGCGGTGTGGCGGGCTCAGCTCCTTCATTTCCGCTGTCCCAGGAGCACTTTGGTGATGAAGGTGACAATGGCCCCCGCAGGCTGATCTGGGTCGAGCTCTGCGAAGAGGTGACACACGTTCTCCCAGGGGCTTTCCAGCTTCTTGGCCACGAAACCAAAGATCCTGGAGGGCAGAGTGGGGGCGGGGGGGAGGCTTCAGTGCCCCCATCCCCACACAGGGAGAGCTGGGGAGGAGAGAGGGGAGCCTCCTTCTCTGGGGAAGAGGTGGTGCTGGCGGGGCCTGGGGGGCTTACTTGGAGGTGGTCCCGTCAGGATTGGTCCATCTGCAGAAAGAGGAGAACTGTCAGGGGACAGACCCCAGGGAAGAGTGACCGAGAGAGGGGCAGGAGCGGAATGCTGATCAGTGAGCCAGGGGGGTGGGGGTGGGGGGGAAGAGTGTCACCTCCGGTCCTGAGGGTCCGTGCTGGAGAAAGTGATGCTGTTCACAGCATAGTGACGGCGAAAGAAGAGCCTGTGGAGGGCAGGAGACGTCACGCCTGGAGACGCCGTATCCCACCCAAGCCCGGGGTCCCCGGGCGGGCGCCAGGCACACTCACTTCCTTTGGTTGTCGGTCAGCGTGATGCCCTGGGCGGAGACCTTGAAGTGGACCACTGCGGGGGTCGGGCGGGGACTGCAGCTCAGAGCTGCCGAGCTGGCCCGGGCCACGGCTTGGGGGCCGGTGAGCGACTCAGTCTCCACCGAGGTCAGGTAGAGCACACTGCAGGCTGGGGGTGGGGGGTAGGAGATGTGTGGAGCGCCCACCCCACCCAACCCTCAGCTCAGCACTTTCCCCAGCTGTCAGGAGTCTCGGGACACTTGCTACAAAAGAAGGTTCCACGGCTCCCCAGACCTACAGTCAGAGATGCTAGAAAGAGGGACCCGGGAGTGCTCGCCTGGCAGCTGCTGACCCAGGAATGGTCTCCGAGCCTGCCAGGAATGATCCCTAAGTGCAGAGTGACCCTGAGCACTGCTGGGAGTGGCCTCCCAAACCATAAAAAGAAAAAAAAAAAATCCCTAAACCCAGAAATGCCAGAAAAAGCATTCCTGAGGTGGTCTCCAACCAGAGAACCTGCACTTTTATTTATTTTATTTTTGGGTCACACCTGGCGATGCTCAGGGGTTACTCCTGGCGGTGCTCGGGGGACCATCTGGGATGCTGGGGATCGAACTCGGGTCGACCGCGTGCAAGGCAAACTGCCCTACCTGCTGTGTTATCGCTCCAGCCAAATCTGCACTTTTTGAGGCTGTTGTGGGGGCCACGCCTGGCAGGGTCATGCGGTTCTGGCCCAGGGCCTTGCAGCCACCAACCACGGGTCTCCCGGTGGGAGAATGCGATCCAACGCAATCCCACTATGCGTGTGTTCCCAAGACTCTGGGAACCCAGCCTCTCCGATGTCCCCTCTCACTCCCTCTCCCCAGGCCTGTGTCCCCTGGGTGCCCGGGGAGAGGTTCCTACCGGCTCCCTGGCGCAGGAGGTCTGCGGCTGTGCTCATGTTGCTGGGCGCAGGGACTTCGGGGGTCTCTTCCAGGGGATCTGACAGGAACGCAGGGACAGTGAGGCACTGCCACTCCTCAGAGCTGCAGGACTCCCTCTGCTGTCCAGGCGGGCGCCAGGCAGAAAACCAGACCCGGGGGTGTGCCGCAGGATGGGTCGAGGGGTACCCACCTTTGTTGGGGATGCGGAGGCAGCAGGGCAGAGAGAGCGGGGAGATGGAGTGCTGGGAGACCAGCGCCGACAGGCTGCCTGCAAGGGAGGGGGGGCGTTGTGCCGGGCCGCTCAGACACCCCCTCTCCCCCTCCAGCCTCCCAGCCCAACCCAGGGGCACGGCTCACCGAAGTAGGGCTCGCTGGGACAACCCTTGATCTTCACCCCTTTGGGCCCAGTCTCAATGAGAAAGTGGCGGACCAGCTGCTCGGACGGGTCTCCTGCAGAGGGGGGCAGGCGAGGGTCCTCAGAGGACTGGCCTTCCCACGCAGACCACCCTTCCCTGCCACCGCACTGCCCCATTTGGTAACCCCTGCCCCTCCCCCCCTGCCACCTCCCCACACCCACAGTGCCCCACTCTGCCACTGCCTCAGGTGCCCAGAAGTACCTTTCCAGGGCTGGGCGCTAGGCGGGGGCGTTGCCACCTTGAGGGCCAGGCCATAGGCCCCCTGGAATGAGTGGCTGTCCCTGATGAGGAAGGCCCCCGGCTCCTTGTCCTTGAGCAAGGCGATGGCTGTGAACGGGGGGCAAAGGGTTGTTTTGGTTCGTTTTGTTTTGAGCCAGGGTTCCTCCTGGCTCTGCACTCGGGATTTACTTCCGGTGGTGCCCAGGGGGACCCTATGGGATGCTGGGGATGGAACCTGGGTGGCCGGGTGCCGGGCAAGCGCTCTACCCGCTGTGCCGAGGCCTCAGGGAAGTTCTCACTGTGGCTCCAACAGGGGACTGACACTGAGACAGGGCTGAGCTCACTGGGCCCTGGCGACATCGCACTGGGTCTAACCCTCCCGAGGCCCAAAGCCCCCTCCGGTGTCTGCGAGGAGCTCAGGCCCGAGACCTGTAGGGTCGAGGAGGCGCCTGGAGGCCCCCACGGTTGGGAGCCCCGGGGGTGGGGACAGTCACGGGCACGGCTGGTCCTCACCTTGGTCGCGCGACAGGTGTGGCTTGTACCAGAACTTGGACGTATCCTGGACGAACTTGACGTTGCTCTGGCTCTCTTGCAGGGGGGGCTCTGGCACGGGGAGGGACCGAGCTTGACCCTGGGGGTCCCCGCGCCCCCACTCATGGTCCCCTTCCCACCTTCTCTCGGGACTTCTTACCTGGGAGCTGGGGGGGGTTCTCGGGGAGCAGAGACGCGAAGGTGACGTGGTGACTGGCGCCTCGGCCCAGCGGGGATGTCTGTGCCGGGGCCCAAGGTCCTGGCTGCGGGCCAGGCCCCGGTAGCTGGCTTGGGGGGTGGCGTTTCTCAGGAAGTGGGGGCTGGCCAGGGCCACGGATGTCCAGGGGGAAGGCAGGCGTGGGAGAGCTGGGAGGTGGCTCCGGGCTGGCCACCAGCCAAGGCATCTGGGTGGGCACGGGGGTCAGGGGGGAGCCGTCTGGGCTGTCCGGGGGGTCTCGAAGGCCCTGCCAGGGGGCGTGGCGGAGGCCTGGCAGCGTGGTGGGCACAGGGCCCCGGGGACTGGCGCTGTCCGAGCGCCCCCCGGGGCTCCGCTCCTGAGGCCAGTCATTGGGGGAGCGGGGAGGCGAGGCTGAGGAGAAGGGGTGAGGGGCCGCTGGTTCCAGCCCCCCCCTGGCGGGCAGCTCCGGAGCCTTCTCGGCACTTCCCGGGGACACAGGTGGCAGGGACTCGCCGGAACTCTGTCTCTGAGGGGCAGCCGAGCTGGGGGACCTGGTGTCCCTGGTGTCCTGCCGCCGTGAGCTGTGGGCGGGAGGGCAGATGGTCAGAGGCTGCCGTGTGCTGCCCCTGGCACAGATGGGGGCCCCCTGGCGTACCTCTCCTTGCCCTGCACGGGGCTGCTGGTGTGCAGGGGGGTGGACTGGCCCGACAGCTCTGCTGAGGCACTGCCCTGGGCATCTCGGGGCGGCCGGGGCAGGGTGCCGTGCCCGCTGGGGGCCTCCCTCCAGGACACTGGCTCGGGGGAGTCTGCCGGGCACACGGGAGGTGAAAGCTGGAGTTGGGCTGAGGCCCCAGCGATCTCTTCATCTATTCGCCACCTTGGACCCCATCCCTCCCCCACGTCCCTTCCAGAACTCTCTGCCCTCGTGGCCCTCACCTCTAGAAGCTGAGGGTCCTGTTGGGGCCAGGTGGCCAGGCAGGGGGTACCTGTCCCCTCCTTCCTCTGCAGGGACCTCGTAGCTCAGCTTCCTGGACGGCGGGTATGGGGGGCTGCCCGGGGAGACGGAGCCCGCACGTGGGGAGGGGATCCCGGGGCTGGCGTAGCCTCTGCCCTCGCCTGGAGACCCGCAGCGGTGCGGCACGCGACCATAGGCGGGGCAGAAGCTGGGCACGGCTCCTCCGTAGCCGCCGCAGGGCACCAGGGCCGGGTACCCCGGGTGCCCGAATCGGCCTTCGGGACACAGGCCGTAGGCGCAGGCCTCGTGCGCATCCTCGCTGGCCTTGGGCGGCTTCAGGAAGGTGCAGTCGGGCAGCGGGCCGTGGTGGTGCCCGCAGGCCGGCACCAGCAGGGGCAGCGGGTGCCCGGGGCGCACGGGGCGCAGGAGAGACTTGCCAGCCTCGCCGGCCCAGGCCTCCCCGGCCTCCCTCTCCAGCCGCAGGCCGTACAGGGCCGCCGTGGGCAGCGCCAGCTTCTCCTCGCAGCCGGGGCACGGGTACAGGGCGGGCAGCCCGGGCTCCTCCAGGATGACCACCTCCCTGTAGTCGGGGGCGCGGTACCCGAAGTCAGCACTGGCCGGCTTCCCCAGGTCGGCCGGGTAGGGGTAGGGGCCCTCGGACAGCGAGCGGCACAGCCGCCGCTTCTCCACGGGGGTCTCCGCGTAGCCCGGAGGCCCCTCGAAGCCCGCGCAGGGCAGCCGCCGCCTCTCCAGGGTCCCCTCGGGCCGGTAGTAGCCGCCGTTGGGGACGCCGCCGGACTCGCGGTATCCCTGGCGGCAGGAGTACTGGCGGCTGAGGCCCGCCCGGGGGGCCGCGTACAGGCCCGGGGGGACGGCGACCCCCGGGTGGGCGACGGCCTCGTCGTCGTCCAGGATCGCCGTCTCGCGCCCCGCCCCGCGCGCGCCCACCGCGCCGCAGCCGCCCAGGAGCCGCTCCAGCTCCTGTCGCTCGGCCGCCGTGGGCGGGGGTCGGCCCGGGGACTCGGCCGTGGGCTCCGTGGTCAGCATGGACGAGTGGCCCGAGTCGCTGCTCACGGAGAGCAGGGGGCCGACGGGGGGCTCCGGAGAGGGCGCCGGCGGGGTCTGGCGCGGGGCGCGCTGCACTTGGGCGTAGGGGCTGCCATCCAGGGGGCCCCGCGTGTGCGTCAGGGACCCTGCAGGAGGGCACGGGGGGTTACGGGGGTCTTTGGGGGCGGGGGCCGCCGGCGGGGGGCAGGGGGGAGCGCGCCCACACGCACGCACCGTCCCCGCTGTCCTCGTGGTGCTGGTTGAAGTTCTCGTAGGAGTCCCAGCGCACGGCGGGCGCGGCCGTGTTGTAGTCCACGGACACGGAGGGGTCGTTGCGCGGGGCGCTGCCTGTGGACCGGACACGCGGCCGGGTGTTGGGGGCGGGAGGAGCCGCCGCCGCCCGCCCAGCCCCACCCCCGCGCCCACCGGCTCTGACCTAGGGTCTTCTCTGGGCTGGAAGAGAAGACAAACTCGGCAGACGCGTGGAAGGGGAATCGCTCATCTGTGGGGAGTGGACGGTGAGGCGCTGCCCTCCCCGCCCCCCAGCCCTCCCCGGGAGCGCCCCCCCTCCCCCGCCACCCCCAACCCATCCCCCGCGCACCAGAGCAGGCCTTGTCCAGCTGGTCCTTGGAGAAGGCGAGCCGGGGGCTGTGGATGGTGCAGGTGTGGAACTGAACCCGGAACACGAGGCTTCGCTCGGTCCCCCGGCCACTCTTGTGGTAGCAGGTCACCTGGGGATGGGGTTGGCCTGAGTCGGTCTCTGAGGTGACCACCCCTCGCAAAACTCCCTGTTTGGGGGCCATGCCCAGCAGTGCTCAGGACTTACTCCTGGCTCTGTGCTCACGGATCACTCCTGCTGGGGCTTGGGACAGAAGCCTGGGTTGTTGGCCTTGCACAAAGCAAGCTCCTTACCCGCTCCGGTCTTTTCAGCTGGGCATCTCCCCTTTGAAAGCCCTCTTACCCGCCCAGGGACTGGAGTGATAGTATTGTGGGAAGGGCATTTGCCTTGCATGTGGCCAACCTGGGTTCGATCCCCAGTATCCCACATCCCCTGAGCACCGCCAGGAGTGATTCCTGAGTGCAGAGCCAGGAGGAACCCCCGAGCATCGCCGGGTATAACCCAAAGAGCCAAGCATAAAGAAATCAGTCAATCAAGCCCTCTCCCCTGCCCTCCCCCAATCTGCGGCTGGAAGCTGGCGGACCCGTGCCTGGCCGCCCTGTATCCCTCACCATGACGTCGCCCTTGAGGAGGAGGGCTGGCTCCAGGCTGATGCAGAGCTGCTGGGGCCCCGGGCCTGCGATGTGGCTGTGGAGAACAGAAGGCGGAACTGGGCACAGGCTCCTGGGCTCGGCAGTGGCCCTGAAGGGGTCAGGCGTGTGCGGGGAGTTGGAGCCGTGGCTCCTCCTTCATTCAGGGGTGTCCGTCATCCCCTCCATGCCCAGGGGTTCGGAGGAGGCTGGAGAAAAGGGACTCCCAGGGCACTCACTAGACTCCGGATGTGTAGACCAGCTGCATGGACTGGTAGATCTTGAGGAAGGGCTGGAAACCTGGGGGCCCGGGAGTGAGAGGTCCGTGAGGGGTGCCGGGGAGGGGGCTGGAGAAGGGGCCTCTCCACGCAGGACAGTAGCACGCTCACCTGTGCCGGGCTCAAAGGCTGGCAGCGTGGGTACGAGCACATGGTGCAGGAAGAGAGGGCTGCTGTTCATCCTGATGGAACCTGACAGCAGCCCGCTGAAGTAGTTGACGTAGCTGCAGGGAGGGTGTGGAGGAGACCATGAGCTTTCAAGCCCCTTCAACCCCGAAAAGCCTGCCCTGCTCCTCGGCATCGGCCCCACCGTCCTGCTCATCAGAAAGTTCTCTCTGAGACCAGAGCGACAGTGCAGCAGGGACGGTGTCTGTCTTGCACGCGGCCAACCCAGGTCTGATCCCCGAGCGCCGCCAGGAGTGATTTCTGAATACAGAACCAGGAGTACGCCCTGAGCACTGCTGTGCTGGGTGTGGCCCCCCAAACAAAGTTTTCTGCATGGGACCGCAATTACAGTGGCCGCCCCCTTGCCTAGAATATGCTTCTTCCAGATCTGGGCTTCCTGCCAAATAAGGGAGGCCAGACTATGCGGCAAGTCCGTCGCAAGATTCAACTTTATTTCCCTCACAGCCTGCTTGGCATCAGACTTTTGTCTCTGCATCTACTGGAGTGAGAGCACAGCGGGTAGGGCGTTTGCCTTGTACGCGGCCGGCCTGAGTTTAATTCCTCCGTCCTTCTTGGAGAGCCCTGCAAGCTACCAAAAGCATCCTGCCCAAACGGCAAAGCCTGCTCCTTGTGGCATATTCCATATTCAATATGCCAAAAACAGTAACAAGGGGCTGGAGCGATAGCACAGTGGGTAGGGCGTTTGCCTTGCACGCGGCTGACCCGGGTTCGATTCCCAGCATCCCATGTGGTCCCCTGAGCACCCCCAGGAGTAACTGCTGAGTGCAGAGCCAGGAGTAACCCCTGTGCATCGCTGGGTGTGACCCAAAAAAGCAAAAAAAAAGCAAAAAAAAAAAAAACCCAAACAGTAACAAGTCTCAGGATGGAGATGTTACTGTGTTACTGCACTGAAGCAAATCTATGAAGGACAGGAAGACAGTGCTACAGTGCTACTGTATCACAGGAAGACAGTGTTACAGTGCTACTGTATCTGCTAGAATATTCGGCACCACTGGCATGTAAGTTCCCAGAGAGTGGGAAGCCGGGAAGCGTTCCTGGTCCCCTGTACTGTGTCTGGGTGTGCACGAAACGCTCCATTCAGGTGGGCTGCCTGAATGAGGCCCTGGGCTTGGAGTCCCCGACGGAGTGAGGGCCCCCCCGCCCCCACCCGAGCTGCTCACCGGCGCTGGGAGGGCTGCAACTCGGACGCCACCTTGTCCTCGCAAAACTTCTGCATGGTGAGTGTGGCAAGCGCCTGGTCGGCCCTGGGGAGAGCGTGGGCAGTGTGCGGGGTCAGGCGCCCTTCTCTAACCTGCTCTCCCACCCCTAGACCCTGGGTGTGGTGGTGGGGGGGGAGGGAAGGAAGGGTGTGGTCCTCCCAAGTCTACAAGAAGCCCAAGACGCTGGTCAACAGAAACCCCTCGGACAGTCGCATTACTAGTTGTGGAGCCTGAGGAAAACTTTCCTGAGCTTCAGTTTTCCCACTTGCCAGTAAGACCATGTAACGGGACGAAGTGCGTCCCTCCGCCCCGAAAGGTATGTACCTCAGGATGTGACCTTATTTGGAAAGAGGGTCGCTGCAGATGGAATTAGTTAAGATGTCATACTGGAGTAGGGTGAGCCCTTAATCCAATATGATTGGTGTCCTTAGAAGAAGAGAAGAGACAGACACACAGACACACAGGAAGGCCATGTGACCACGGAGGCAGAGATTGGAGTGAGGCATCGCCACGCCAGGGGTCGCCAAGATCGCCAGCCAGAAGCAGCAGCAGCAGCAGCAGCAGTGAGAGAGAGGCAGGGAAGGAGGCTGCCCCAGGCCCGAGGGAGAACACGCCTCCACGCTGGGCTCCCAGCCTCCAGGACAGAGACAGAGTTAGTTCCACCATCCTGAGCCACTGAGTCTGTGGGGTGCTCCTACAGCAGCCCCGGGAAACGTAAGTCATCTGCTGGGAACGGCCGTCGAGGACAAGTGAGAAAGAGGAGGCCGAGACGGCAGACAGCTCTCTGCACAGAGACGGGCTGGGCACAGGGCAGGCGGCGGGAAAGGGCTTGGGAGCCTCACCCCGCAGAGATCTCGCTGTAGTGCATATAGGCCGAGACGATGACTCCCAGCTTGCCTTTGCTCCCCTGTGGAGACAGGGAAGGCGGATCTCAGGGGGGCCGCAGCTAAGGTACACCCCCCTCCCCTGTCCAGGGAAGCCAGGGCTCCGGCCCCACCTTGCAGTACAGCACCACGACGTGCTGTGGGTCCGCGCTGAGCCACGTCTCCATGGCTTTGCAGATGGAGCACAGCTTGTCCAGGGGCGGCGCATGCAGTTCTGGCCAGCCGAAGTCCTGGACCTGGAGGACACCCCCAAAGAGAGGTGGCTTCAGGGCGTGGCGGATGTGGGCAAGGCTCTAGAGGTCTGCTGGTGTCACTGGCCACCTCATCACTTCCCTCTCCCTCTAGCGAGGGGTTCTGGGAAGGTGTCTGCACCTGGGCGCGATCCCTGGCACCCCATAGGATCCCCCGAGCCCTGCCCAGAGCGATAACTGAGCACAACTGAGTGTGTCCTCAATCTTAAAAAATAAGAGGAAAGAGAGGCTGGAGAGATAGCACAGCGGGTAGGGCGTTTGCCTTGCACGCGGCCGACCTGAGTTCGATTCCCAGCATCCCATAGGGTCCCCTGAGCACCGCCAGGAGTGATTCCTGAGTGCAGAGCCAGGAGGAACCCCCGTGCATCGCCAGGTGTGACCCAAAAAGGGAAAAAAAAATAAAAAATAAGAGGCAAAAGTCAAGTTGGTCCCAAGTGCAGCCCTGGATAGAACCGGAGGCCGGGCGCAGTGACGTCAGGCCCCTCCTACCTTGGGGTTTAGACGGTTCAGGTCATGTCTTTTCTCTGAAAGGTTGAAAAGCTGCGAGGAAAGGGGGCTTCAGTCCAGAGCCGGGGGCGCAGCGCCCCACCCCGCCCCAGGCGCTGGCCCAAGCCCCGCCCCTCACCAGGTACTTGTCGTGGTGCTTGCCCTGGAGCACGTGCGCCAGCTCGCGCAGGTGGCCGCGGTGGCGCTGCTCGTCGGGCCGCGCGGGGAAGGCGGCGGCCAGGATGCGCTCGGTCACGTAGGTGAGGTCCAGGTCCCAGCGGCGCTCCATGAGCGGGCCCAGGCTGAAGCTCCTGCGGGGGGCGGCGCCGTGGGAGGGGCCGGGCCGGGGGTCCGCGCGGCCCCGCCCCCTCTGCCCCTCCGCCGGCGGGTCCCGCCCCCCGCCCCCACCCCGCTTACCTGGGCAGGGTGCTGCGCTGCTTCGTGTGGTTCAGGGACTTGGTGGACCCCTGGGGCGCGAGAAGAGGGTGTGGGACCCCCAGGGCCGCTGCTGCGCTGCCCGCCCGTGCCCCTTCCCCGCCCCTCTCCCCTCCCCCTCCCCCCCCCCCCGTCCATCCTCCACCGTCCCCCTCCGTCCCTGCCCCTGCGTGGCCTTACCAGGTGCTCGATGCGCCGCGCCGGCGCCGTGTTCCTCCGCTAGAGGGAGCCGGGGAGGAAAGAAAGGGTCGGCGGGGGCCGGCCGGACAGTCCAGGCCCCCCCCACCCCGCACCCAGGAGGCGCACAGAGAGCTCGCACCCACTCTCCTCCCTCCCCACCCGCACGCAGCGCTTCCAGGACCCTCCCGGGGCCCGACCCAGGCTCACCTGCTCCACGGGAGGTGCAGCCTGGCAGGACGAAGTCACCTGCGCGGGAGGCCGAGTGGGGAGTGAGGGCTGGGGGTCCCCGGCAAGGCGAGGGGCGTCTGCAGATGGGTGCGGGCTCCAGCCGCCCTGCCGCGCCCCGGTGCCTCTATTTAAGGGCGCCTCTCCTCGGGCCTCTTGGTCCCCCACCCTCGGGCCCCCCACTTGTTGCTTTTGGCTCCCAGCCCCCTGCCCACACAGACCCCCATTCATCCAGCTGCGGGCAGGAGTTATATATAGAGCCACAAGGCAGGCCATGGCCAGGCACGGACACTGGCCTCTTTCACCGGGAGACCCCGCCCCTGGGCACACCGATCCCCCAAGCCAGCACTAGGCCCTGGGACCCCCCACCCTGCAGGAGGGCCAGGGAACCTCCCAGGGCTGGGGCTGCCTCAGGCCCCTGGTGGACAGCAGCTGCCCTCACTGGGCCATCTCCTGCCGCTTGCCAGGGCCCAGGACAAGACCCCCTGGGGCATCCCGGGGGTCCTTTCCCAGAGGGGAGGCACAGCCTCCGGGGGCTGCCCGGTCGCTGAAGTGCTCCCCACCCTTCACTCTCCTTCCCCTCCTCTTCCCCGCCCCTCGCCAGCTGCAGCCTGGGCACTGCACCAACACAAACTGCTGTCTTGCTGTCCACTTGCCTGGGCCAGCCCTCCGGGAGGTGGGGTAGGGTGGTTCTTAAAGGGCCCAGGACAGCAGCCGCTGCCACCCCAGGGCCGCACACCATCCCCCCCGAGTGACAGGTGGAGGCTTGATGCTTCGGAGGAGCAAGGGTCCCGAGCCCCCACCCCACAGCCGGCACCCACCTTGCCTTCACATTTCTTGTGAGTTGCCACCTTGCAGACTAGAGGGGAGAGGAAGGAGGGGGTCAGCTGGTGCTTCCCGAGGAGGCAGGTGTGGCCCCTTCCCGCCAAGCCCCGGGCCCATGTCCCCAGGGAGCCCCTTGGGACTCTGGAGTGGGGGACAGAGAGAGTTTCAGGGGTCCGATGGCACTGGAGTGCTGTGCCGTCACCAGTCAAGGTGGAGTCCCTAGGGGCGTCTTGTCAGGGGGCGTGGGCTGCCCTGGCCTTGCTCTGCAGTTCCGTGAGCTCCTCTCCTCCCTCCCCGCACCCCGGGGCAGGTGCTGGGGGCCCCGGGAGCTCTCCCAGTCGTCGGTCAGGCCGCCTCACCTCGGCAGGAGACGCCCGTCCCATCGATGATCACCTTACACACGGCACAGACCGGTGGTCTCTTCCGGAAGCCCTTCTCCCGGAAACTGTGCGGCTCGGGCTTTCTGGGCTAGGGGCGGAGGGACCGAGTGACAGCGGTGTCAGAGCCCGGCTGGGCCTCAGGATGGCGCTGGTCTCCTTCCTCCCGCCCCACGCAGCCCGCAGCCCTGGAGGACGCATTTGGCCACAGCTGTCCACAGGCAGTGGTGCGCTGCCCTCCGGGGGCATGGAATCTGGTCCCTTGCGTCACTCAGGGGGCCAGATTCCAAGCTGGGTCAGCTCCTCCCAGGGGATCACGCAGGGCCCCTCACGTGGCCCGGGCCCTGTGGCCACTGCCAACCTAGAACCTTCCTCCTGGATCTCTGAGGGGTCCCCCCCACCCCACCCCGACCCCCGGTTCCTCCAACCGCTGGCCCCGGGCGGTGGGAGACCAGCAAGGGGCCCAGACACGAGGGCAGGCGGATGGAGCCCCTGGGCCGACCCCGGACTGGCCTCCCGCCCCTGCTGTCCCCAGGCTCCAGGCAGCTGACGGCGGCCTCCTCCCCCGTCAGAACAACATGTTTACTCAGTGTGCACTGAAGCGACAGCCTGTGGAAGGAGGGGGGGTTCACGCGAGAGGGCGAACCCACGGGCGGGACGCTGGGAAATAAATACTTGGCCGCCTCGTTACTTCTGGATGTCAGAAGGGCCCTGTCCCGGGGTTCCGGCACTGACTGCGGGGTCGAGGGGGTGCGTGCGTGCCCTGGGCCCCTCCCCACCCAGAGGTGAGGCTGGGATGCCCCTCGTGGCCCCGCCTCCCCGCTTGCCACCTGCCTCCCTGCCTGGCTCTCCTGTTTGTTGAGGAAGCAGGGGGCCGAGAGCGAGCGAGCGAGGCAAGAGGCTTCCCAGCCCTTCCTCATCCCCGGCTCTTGGCTGTGTAACGGAAACATCTGGCTTGAACCCAACCAGAACGCCTCTGGCTAAACCAACCGCGCCGGACCCACTAGCAAACGGGGGTCCGTTTCGGCTCTACCAGCAGACCCAGAAGCCAATGCTAAGGCCCCCCGGAGCCCTGGCCCGCTCCCCCCGCCTCTGTTACCCCAACCCACTGGCTCCAGATCCCTCTCCTCCAGGAGGGGCCTGAGCACTTAACCACGCTCCGAGGAAAAGTCTGACAGAGTAGCTTGGTACAGGTTTCGGGGGGGCCAGGGACCCCCCAGCCGGCTTCGGTGAGGCCAGGGAGCCAGAGCTGACGCCAGGTTCTGCTCTGATCCAAACTTCCCACCACCGCCCGAGCCACCCAAAGGGGCAGAGTGACAGCCCCCGGGGAGAAGACCCGGGGAAGTGTCTGGCCTCAGCCGGCCCCCTCCCCCACCGCCCAGACCGCTGCCCCAGCCCCTCCTACCCTGCAGGCGGCCCGGCCGCCGTCCCTCCGCCCCAGGGCTCGGAGCAGCCTCTCCACCGGGCCGCTGGACTTCATGATGTCGGGCTGGCCGGGGTGCTGACCAGGGGCCCGAACAATGCTGGGGCCCGGCCCGGGGCTTCCTGGAAGCCGGCTGGCGGAGGCCGCGTTTCCCCTGGGTGGAGGGTGGGCTGTCTGGCTGGTGTGCGGAGCCCGGGCCGGCCCTGGAAGTGGAGGGGAGTGCAGGCGGGAAGGGGGCAGGTCGAGCTCCAGGAAGTCGGGGGGAGAGGATGTGGGGGAGGCCTGGAGATCAGATTCCCAGGATCTCCCCTGCGGGGAGTGTCCGCCGGGATCTTGGCTCCTTACCCTGCTCTGGAGCGGCCCCGGGCCCGGGGATCCACTCCAGGCAGGGGTCGGGTCCTGAGCTCCTGCCCCCGGCCCCCAAGTCATCCCGGCACGTGTGAGGGATGGGAGCCTGGCAGGGAGGGATGGGCAGGGCTCGAGGGCCAGAGGGAACGCAGTGTCCCGGCCCCACCAGCCAGGCCCTCTGGCGACTTCCGGAGGGAAGGGAGAGAGGAAGGGCGCTGGGAACCGGTACCCCAGCCAGCCCAGGATCTGCTGCGCACCCCCAGGGTCAAGGAGAAGGGGGCGGGGGGGGGGCAGCTTCCTGCCTCAGTTTCTCTTTTTGGCCACACCCAGCTGTGCTCAGGGCTTACCCCCGGCTCTGTGCCCAGGTGGTCAGGGATCACTCCTGGTGGGCCTGGGGGACCGGATAGGGAATGCTGGGAATCGAACTTCAGTTGGCTGTGTGCAAGGCAGACGCCCTCCCCGCTGTACTGTCGCTCGGACCCCTGCTACAGTTTCACTCGTGAAGTAGGAAAAGATCAACCTGTGGGGCTGGAGCGATGCGTTTGCCTTGCACGCGGCCGACCCGGGTTCGATTCCCAGCATCCCATAGGGTCCCCCGAGCACCGCCAGGAGTAATTCCTGAGTGCATGAGAACCCCTGTGCACCGCCGGGTGTGACCCCAAAAGCAAAAAAAAAAAAAAAGAAAAGATCAACCTGCCCCATGGCCCCTCTCTCATATTCTAGGAGACTTTGCCCACAAAACTGACCCATTCACTTTTCCCAACCCCAAGCATTGCAGACCCTTTGGAGAACCCCACCTCTGCCAGCTCTGGTACTTTCTGGGGGCTGGCGGTCAGCTTGCTGCCTCAGTGCCCATCCTATATCACCAGTCCCTGGCTTTATTTGGGCTGGTCTCAGAACCCTAGTCCTCTTGCAAGTTCTGCCACTTAGCCCTCCCCCCCGGGGCTGGGCGACCCCCCTCCCAGTCCCCCAAGCCTGGGTACTACCTTCATGGCTCTCCTAGTTCTGTCCTTCCTCGGCGGCTGTCTCTGGGCCTGAGGAGTGGACAGGGACCCCTCCTAGCACATACTCCACCCCCCTCCACGGGCCTCCTGCCTCCCTCCTGGGAACAAGGCCAACTTCCTGTCCCAAGACTTAAGTGAAGGAGGTGGATGGAAGGGGTGGCGGTGGTGGGGGGGTAATAATCATCTGGAAATATGTGGGGTCAGTGGTCTAGAGGACAGAGGCGTGGCCCTGTCCTCTGCAGCATGGATTCACTCAATGTCAGAGCTCTGGCATCTCGCGCAGCCCAGCCGGTCCCTAGATTTCTCTCCCTGTGCGCCTGCAGGCCCATCTGGGCGGCCCCATCCCGCCCTCTTCGGGGAGCCCACCCAGGGCACTGTCCAGGACCTGTGAGCTGGGACTTGCAGCTCGAACTCTCCTTCCAGGCTAGCAAGACTGTCCCCAGGGCACCTGGGCCGGCGGGCGGGATCCGTGTGGCAAGGCCCGGGCTTCCCGCCCGTAACTGGAGAGGCCACTGGTGCTGCCACCCGTTCTTAACCCTGCCAGCTCTGGCTGGGTCCCAGGACATTCCAGGCCCCTGGCCAGTGTGGGCAACGGGGCCCGGCCTGGCCTGGTCCTGCCAGGCTGGAGGGCAGTGGGGACAGCGGAGCGATGGACGTGCCGGGCTGCCTTTTCTCCGCCCCTGTCGCTCCTGCCAGGGCCCCTCCAGGCTGAGAGCCATTCCCACAAACATCCTCGGACCCTCTTCTCCGGGGAGGCTGCCCGCAACATCCGCCTGGGGGGCCAGGGACGCGTGTCACCTCGCGGGCCCCTCTGGGGAGAGAGGGGGAGGGGGGCGCATGACCCCTGCCCGAGGAACAGGAGCCCAGTGGAGGAGGGCCTGGAAAGACGCGGCCGGACCCCTGGGACCCTCGCCTCCTCCTGCCTGGAACATTCCAGAGCCCCACAGTCTCTCCCCGAGCCTGGCCCCCCGGCTCCCCCCAGGCTCCGGGCTTGTTTGGAGAAACCCCTCCACCCGCGCCCCCCCTTCCTGGAAATAGCTGCGGTTGGGTGCGAGGCGGCCGGGAGCCCGCGGAGGTGGGGTGAGGCCTGGGGAAGGCGGCAGACGGGTGTGCCCGGAGGGATGGAGCGGCGGCCGGCGGACGGGCCCGCTCGGTGCCTCGGTTTCCCCAGAGGGACCCCTCCCGCTCCCCACCGGCCTGCGCGGGCGCGGGACGCGCGGAGGCGTGACGGCCGGCGCGCCGGCGGGGGGTCCCCGTCGCGGGCCCCCTGGCGCCCGCCCCCGGCAGCGCCCGCCCGCGACGCGGCGGCCACTCACCTGCGGGGGGCGCGCCGGGGCGGGGCAGCAGCAGGGGGAGCCCCCGGGCCAGCCCATCGCGCCGGGCCGGGCCGCGCCGCGCGGGCCGCGGACTCGGCGTGGGAGGAGGCGGGAGCGGCCGCCGCGCCCCGCCCCCTCCCCGCCCCCCGCCCCGCGCCCCTCCCCGCCCCCCGCCCCGCCGGCGCGCTGGGGAGGGACCCGCGGGGACGGCCACCGGCCCCGGCCCGGGGCTCCCCGGGGACGCTCCTCGGCCCCGCAGGACCCTCGGCCCTGGGCCGCAGCCCCCCAGCGCGTCACGCCCCGTCCCCGTGGCCGCCCCCAAAGCCGCCCCAGGCCCTGGCTGCGTCCCGGTGCTACTATGTTGCAACGCCAGGATGGGGACAGCTGCTGGTGACCCGCGGGCACCAGCGCGCCCGGGCCTGGGGCTGCTGCCCGGGGAGCAGAGGAGGGTCGGGCCGGGGAAAGGCCCTTCCCCGGGAGTTTTCATTGTTCTCTAGCTCTGGGCTAAGACTTCCTGCACCTTGGTCCCCCCCAGTGGATTTTCCGTGATGAAAGCGAGTCGTGCCGTGCCGAGGGGGTGGGTGCCCTGGAGCTGGGCTCTGAGTCAGTGCCCGCGGCTCACCGCCCAGTGCCTATTCAGAGCCGCTCTCTGACAGTGTTTCAACAGGGTTCTTTTTTTGTTTTCCTTTGGGTTTTTTTTTTTAAGGCCACACCCAGCGGTGCTCAGGAGTCACGCAGGGCACCAGGGTCTACAACTTGCAAGGGAAGTGACTTAATCCCCAGACTATCTCCCCGGCCCCCTAGGACCGTGTCCTGAGTTTATCTTGCCATCTTGCTCTGGCCCAAGGCTGGGACGTTTGGTTCTGATTGGGAGGGAGTGGAGCCTCTGACTCCAGGCAGTGGAGTCTCTGACACAGGCAGAGTGGCCCTGTGGTGGCCGCCTCGGTAACCACGTGGGTCCCCAGAGGCGGGGACGTGGGAACGTGGGCGCGCGGGGGCAAGAGATTTGCTTTGGGTGGAGCTAGTGCCCCACTGGGCAGTCTCCTAGGTCCCAGGCCCGGGGTCTGCAGGAAAGCCTGGGGGGCTGGAGTGCAGCTGGGAAGCGGCAGGAGGGGAGAAGGGGGCTGGGGAGCGGCGGCCACCGGGAGGTGGGGGGAGAGGCTGAAACAGAAAGTCACCGAGGGTTTGGGAAAGGCGATTGCGTAATGCAGATAGATGCGCTCTGACAATGTTCACTTCCTGGGTGCCTGGGGCTCTGTTGTTTTGTTTTGTGGCCACACCCGGCAGTCTGTATTCTGGAGTTACCGTTCCTCCTGGCCCTGCACTCAGGAATCACTCCGGACGGTGCTCTAGGACCATCGGGGTCGCTGGAGGTCCCGGAGGCAAGCGCCCGCCCTACCCACTGTGCTATCCTCTCAGCCCAGCTAACCCTGAACTCTTGCCTTTTCCTGTTCATCGGGCTTCTTAGCCAACCCCAGAGACGGGTGCCAAGAGGCTAGTTTTTCACCCTTTGCTTTCTGGGTCGCACCCAGCTGTGACCAGGGCTCACTCCTGGGGAGAGTCAGGGCACCGTATGTGGTGCTGGGGACCAAGTCCAGGTTGGGCGCCAGCACCGTGTGTGCCGAACTCTCCCGCTGGTTCTGGGTCTCTGGCGGTACCCAATGAGAAACTGGGCGGGACTAGCAAAAGCGGCAGTTGATTGGATCCCTGGGAGGTGGGCAGGGCCAAAGCCTCACTTTCAGGCTCCTGCTGCTGTCCCTAAGGGGGGTTTTGGGGGGTTTCCAAGGAATTGGGAGGTGGCCGGTGGCCTTAAGATACATAATGGAACTTCCATCTCAGCCTTGATTCCTGCTGCTGACGTGGGGTGGGTGGAGGGTGGGATGAGGCAGCAAGGGGAAGCCGAAGAAAAGTCGAGAGTGAAAGACGGATGCGGGCAGCTTGGTGAGAGTCGAGGCACAGGCAGTACCTGACTGGAGAGGGAGGAGAGCTGGGGTGGCTTACTAAAGAGGAAACAATCCCAGGAATCCCCAGGAGGCTCCCTGGAGGGCTTCTTACCTTTATGATGCAGAAAGCAGCCCATCTCGGCACTGAAGGCTGCACCGCCTCCTCCCCGGCCCGGGGTGATCCCATGCTCGCCTGGTGGCTCAGGCCCGAGGGCGCAGGCTGCTTGGCTGGGGGAGCACTGGGTCAGAGGAACTTCAGCGGAGGCTTTGGGTGCTGGGAGCCGGGAAGGGTGGAGGGTGTGGGGGGGAGGCGGGAAGGGGCCGAGCCCATTCCAGAGGCGGGCTGCTGGCGGAGGACAGAGGGTGTATTGTCTGAGGGGGAGTGGCCCAGCTTTGCCTCTTCCAAGCCCCTGGTTCCGTGAAGCAGGAGGACGAGAGGCCGCCAGCCCCCCCTCCCTTCTCCCCCCAATTTGTGACCCTGGAGGCTACAATGGTTGCTGAGAAACAAGGTTTAATTTGAGAACTAATGCTTCCCAGGAACACATGTGCTGCTCTTCCACTTCCTGAGAAGCCAGATGCTCCCCGGGAGCTCCCTTCCCTCCAGGGGTGATGCTCTCGTCACTCCGTGGGACCCTCACTCAGGATTCAGAATTTGAGAGACACTGAGCTACAAGCACAGAAATACCCAGGGGTCCCTGTCTGAAGCTGGACCTGCATGCTGCTAGTCCAGGGTTTACAGGAGGGGGAGAGAGGACAGTGGGGAGGGCCTTGCATGTGGTTGATCCAGGTGTGATCCTCAGCCTCCCACAGGGTCTCCTGAGCCCTTTAGGAGTGAGTCCTGAAGACAGAACCAGGAATAACCCCTGGGAGCGGTCAGGTGTGCCCCACCCCACCCGCAGAAAAAAAATGTACAAAAGGGCTGATCAGTTCCAGGTTCATTTCTGCGGTTAATTTCTGCGGGGGCGCACACATCCCCTGACTTAAGATGGGGCATACGAAGCACCTTGCCTACCTTTGCTTTGAATCTGGAGTAACTTCAGGACCCGGGGCCTCTCTCCCTTCCTATCTCACTTTTGTTTCCTTTCCCACTTGTCTGTAGGGATGGGGACCAATCAAACCCAGGGTCTCACACATGCAAGTGCTGGAACACTGGGTTACACACAGGCCCCCATAGTAGATGAATTCAAGACATCCAAGTTGTTTCTAAAATAAAGTGGAATTAGGGCTGGAGCGATTGTACAGTGGGCAAGGTTCTTTCCTTGCACATGACAGACCCAAGTCTGCTCCCCAGCACCATAGGGCCCGGAGACCGAGATCCCCGAGTGCAACCAGGAATAGGAATGGTCTCTGGTTTTGGGTGTGGTCCCAACTGCAGACCATAGGTCAGTGTTGTAGCGGCATGAAGACTGAACCTTTCCACTTGTGTCCTCAGGTCTGTCCCCAGGTCAACACTGTCCTGGGGTTTCGCTGACAGTCTTGGCCGAGAGAGGTGTCAACATTGCCTAGAAACACTTTCATCACACCCACTGAGGCTCCAGGTCCTCAGCTTCGTGCTGGGTCACACAGGGCAGCATTCTTGCTTACTCGTGGCTTTATGCCTAAGACGGCCCTCCTGGTGGCCCTGTGGGACCTTACGTGGTACTGGGGATTGGTCACGTGCAACAGAAACACCCTCTTCTCCATACTATACTCTGGCCCTGTGGGCAACGCCATCCCACTACCCTCCTCCCTAACTTTGCCAAACTGCCTTCTCATTTTCCTCTACTCCATCTGTTTCAGCCCTCAAGGGTTCTCTGATGTAGTCCCAACCTCTTTCCGCTTTGTCCTACCCCAGTCCTTTAAAATAACCCATGGGATGTGTCTATTTTGTACTTTTGAAGATTAAAACCAGGTCATCGTGCTGGAGGCAAACTAGGGCAAATGCTTGGGCTTCAGTGGACAGCTATGGTGATCCCAATCCCTGGACATAATAAATTGCACACCCAAGAGAATCGGAGAAATCAGGGGTGGGTGCAAGAAGCACTTTGCCAATGGGGACTCCAAGGAAAGCACTTGGAGTGGGGATGCAGATGAAAGAATTTGAGCATTAAAAAAAAAAAAGAAAAAAAAAAAGAACTTTAAAGAGCAGATTTATTTGGAGAAGACAAAAACCCCAAAACCCAAAGGATGGGATTTTACATCTCAAGACATCTCCCAGGTATTGTCTACAGATTACAAATCATTTTCATAGAAGATACTTTTGTACAAATTTTACATGTATTGAGGAATGGGACATAGATCCCTGTTTGTTCTAACAGGGGCTAGGATGAGGGGTCAGAGAAAAACAGCTTTTTTGGAAACAACTATTTGGAAGTCGACACGAAGAGGACAAACCTCCACTTTTTCATCATCTACAGCAAACGTCTTTAGGGAAAAAACCAAACATCCCCTTCAACCTTGGGTCTCTCTTGAAAAGCCACTTCCTAGCTACCAGCCAGTCTAAGCCAGTGTTCTTGTTACTTGCTGTGCCTTCGAGGCCAACTGGATAAATGACGCAAAACCACTGCGGCAGCACTCAGAAGCCGACACTGCATCCATCGGAGACACGGCGTGACACCGAGGTCTGATGCAGGCCAAGGCAAGCTACCTAGCGCTGTGAGAGATACCAAGACCTTGTCAAAGAGTTCTCTTCATTTTCATTTATTCCCTCAGGGGAGGGTTGAAAGAACAAAAACCCAAGACACTGGCCTAGATCACATGACAAATCTAAACACTGGTGTGGGATTTCTGTGGAGAAGCAAACGTTTAAAAAAAAAAAAAAGCAATAAACCCAATAATCAAGGTTCTAAGAAACGTCCCCCACATAACTGCCACTAACCACCTAAGACCATGGATTCTTGAGTTTTTAAGGTGTCAAGGGATCGTGACAGCAGGGGCAGGATTGGACAAGAGGAGCCAACAGTCGTGAGCGAGCCAAGATTTGCTCAGGAAAAGCAGCGATTCCTTTTTGACAGCTGGGGGGGGGAGGGGAAGAGGAGGGCGGAGCTCAAGACGACCGAGGCAGAGGGTATGTGACTTACATAAAAGCTGCTTTCGGGGAAGTTACGGGAGGGAGCAACAGGAAGATCCTAAGATGACCGACCTAAAAATTTAAAGCTTCAAGATTTGAGCAGAATGTGGATGCACTTGAACTTTCAGAAAGGACAGTGTTGAGGAAGGGTGAAACCAGGACACATTTAAGACTTGGGAGTTCCCACGATCCCTTAAGTGCTTCCTGCTCCAGGAAGTAACCATTCATGTGTTTAATGGAAGGCATACGATTTTCCCCCATTCTGGTGTGAAAAAATTTCTAACCGCTGTAAGCTTCTTTTCAAACCACGATTTTCCCACCTATTTTGGTCACCAAACAGTCTATTCTCTAATGGCCTGTAGACTCACTCCCAACTACCCCCCTGGGGGGTAAAAATGAAGTAATCCCCCCCTAGGCTGGCCCCTGTAAGTCAATTAAAAGCGAGGCCGGCAGACTCCTGGAGAGAAACAACTGCAGAGACTAAACCTACCCTTCCAAGGGGGAAAAGTTTATTCAGCGATGCTTGAGAATTCATCGAGGCCACAGCAGGGGAAGAGACTCAGCCCTGCCCCACACCTGCACCAACTGCCCAGCCAGATTCCAGACCCGGCAGCACTGTCGCTGCCCCTTGCTAAACGGAGTGCCCTAGGCACTGCTCACACAGAGGCCAACTGTGGATGTCACCAAAAAAAAAAAAAAAAAAAAAAAAAAAAAAAAAAAAAAAAAAAACCCAACACACCACAACTTTCTGTCAAAAGCCATAGTCTCTCTCTGGCTACGTTGGCAATTCTCCAGTTAGTTCAATACTTGAAGGCTGCAGCAGCATGCAAAAGAAATTTCATTTAAAAAAAAAGGTTAAGAAAGGTCTCCAGGAGATGGTGAGTTTTATTTTGTCTCGTCTGGGTAGGTTTGATTTGCTCTCGAATGTTCCAGGGTGGAGAGAGAGGAGAAAGCACAGGATGTAGAGATCTATTCGGTGTAATCGCCTTCGTTCTCATCTTCGCCATCCACAGAGAGAGCAGCATACTTGCTGGCGGAGCTGAACTTCTGGAACAGACAAGACTGGTCAATGAAGGCCTCAAGTCCTTTGTATCAAACGCTGAGACAGAATCTTAAATGCTTGGGCAAACTGTCCAGATCACATCTGTCTGCTGTGCTCAAAGGCATCACCCGTGGGGAGAAGGCTGGTAAAACACAGGTGCCCCGATCAAGCATGTCCTACTTTGGTCTTGAGAGGATTAGACCAGTGACATGCCGAAGGGAAGAAAGCTAGCCTACCTGTTATTTCAAAAAGCAGTCACGCTGTACTTCTAGTCATACTGAGTGCTGTCCCCAAAGTGAGTGAGTTCAATGGCAAAAAAAAATGAGGGCCCAAGGAGCCGGCTCAAAGCGTTGGAGAGCGTCCTTTGCATGCAGGAACTGCAGGCGGACCCCCGGAATGCATCAAACCGCAGGCTCCAGAGAAGCACTGTATGCCCCCCCACAGTAGAGAGAAGCTAAAGGCTGGGATGGGGCTCAGTGTTTTTGCTTTCACACGTGCTTCAAATACAGGAGGCCCTTGGGTCAATCCCCAGAGTGGACAAGGCCGGTTACTTACAGAGGCTGGATTTTCTTCAGGTTTCTTTGGCTCAGGTGCAGATCGGGAGTCTTGATCCTTCTTGCCATCTTTCCTGCAAAGATGCAAGCACAGATGACGCCAATGTCCATCAGTCACAGACAAACCTCTCCCTGCGCCCACAGTACGGGTGAGGCATGCAGTGGGCACCTCCAGGCGACATCCCGTGCTATTTGAACAACTGAGGATTTTACAATCTCAGAACTGTTAGCAGCCTCTACTGGTTGACTTTAGTTTGCTACCAGCCTGTTTGGCAATGCTGAAGAGAACCCAGAGTGTCTGTTTTCTTTGTTTTGGGGCCATAACTGGCTGCACTTGGGGATCAGTCCTGGGTTGGCTGGGAGCAAGGCAAGTGCCCAACCGGCTGTGTGATCTCTCCAGCCCGTGAACCAAACATTTCTTGTATTTACAGGGCCAGGGAGACAGCTCAAGGGGCCAGTGCATCTGCTTCCGTTTGGGAGGACCGGCCTGATTCCCAGCACGCCCTCTGCCCGATGTGGCCACTAACCAAACCAAACAGAACCAATCAAAACCTTCGCCTGAGGGTCAGAGGAAAGATGGGGAAAACACATACCTATCGGTCTCCTTCCAGTGGTCCTTGTGCCCTCCTTCTGCTGGACCTCGGCTGGAATTGCCACTTTGGCCTTTTGGGACGCTCACACCATCTACTTTATTATTTTCATCTGCTAGGGAGACAGAGAAGTAATTCAACGGCAAGTCAAGTAGCTCTGTCCTCTCCTCGCTTCCCCTTCTAACAAGAATATACTGTGCTCGAATACACGGCGGGAAATTAAACGTCCCCCATAGCCAGACTTCCTTCCTGAACCCTTCCTGTCCTGTCCTCTTTAGTACAGCACCCTGCCCCACCCCTCCCCATCCACTAGAAAGTTCCACCAGGGAGTGATACCATCATGAAAAGCAAGTGGAAACGAAGACGATGACGCTGTGTATGACCTTGGCCTTGCAGCTGGTGACATTTCTAATCTGGACCCAGCATGTTAATTTCCTTCCCCTGTCCCCTCCCAAGGCTCTACCCGGAAAGGGCAGGGAAGGGCAAGGCTCCAGGTTTCTTCCAGAGAAGCCACCCTGCCCTCTACTGGCAACAAGAGGCTGAGGGAGAAGAAACCTTCAACAGGAAAACCAGGGGAGCAAAACACACCCCTCTACAGGCTTTGGAAAAAATAAAAACAAAACCTGGGGCTGGATCGATAGCACAGCAGGTAGGGTGTTTGCCTTGCACGTGGCCGACCCGGGTTCAATCCCCAGCATCCCATATGGTCCCCTGAGCCCCGCCAAGAGGAATTTCTGAGTGCAGAGCCAGGAGTAACCCCTGTGCATTGCTGGGTGTGACCCAAAAAGCAAAACAAAAACAAAAACAACAACAACAAAACAAAAAAAACCCTCTAGAGCTGGAGCAATAGGACAGCAGGTAGGACGGTTGGGTTTGCGGCCGACCTGGGTTCGATCCCTGGCATCCCATGATTCCCCCAAGCACCGCCAGGAGGAATTCCTGAGTGCAGAGCCAGGAGAAATCCCTGAGCATTGCTGGGTGTGACACAAAAGAAAAAAACAACAACCCAAAAACCCTCTAAATGAGGGGCCAGAAATCTAGCAAGCAGTTAAGAAGTTTGTAAGGCTTGCACGTGGCTGACCTGGTCCAACCCTCAGCATCCCTGATGGTCTCCCAGTACTGCCAGAAGTTCGTTCCAGAGTGCAGAGCCCTGAGTAGCCCAACCCCCCCCACCCCCCCACCCCCGCAGGGAAAAGCCCACTCCACTGCTGCTTTGGTCTCACCTTTCCTTGCTGGTCCTTCTTCAGATGGCTGAGCCGGAACAACTTGACCCCCTCCACTAGAAAAAACAAACAGGCGATCACATTCACCAACTGCCTCGGGGAACATACAAGAAACTTACAATTGTTCTCAAAGAGCAGAAAACCAAAAGTACATTAGATGATTCTACGAAAAAGCCAGGAAAGCAGTTATTTGAACACTCATTGCGATACTCTTACTCTTAATACAAAGCCATTCTTTGGTTAGATTTTCCTACTTCATAGGCTCCAAGACAGAAGGGAGGAATAGGCCACCCCAACCCCCTGCTGCGCCAAATATGGCACAGGGATGCGGGATTCAGTGTTTTCTGATTTCTGCTTTCTGAGAGGACAGAGCTACTTGACTTGCCGTAATCAGAACAGCCGGAAAAGTCAAGTTCATAAGCTGCCCAAATTCCAGAAAATGAAACAACTGCCTCTCACGAACCAGTCTAGCATCATCCGGAATGGAAGCCAAGGCAGCACGTCTGTCTGGCCAACAAAGGACCCCCCCCCCACCCCCGGTCCCAACAGTGACGAGTCTCTGGCTAACCAACTGCTCGGACTCCACGCCGACTCACCTTGTCGGGGACTGCTGCTCTGGGTCTGAGCTCGGAGATCGAGCAGGAGGGTTAGAACTTCGCTTCACCCAAGCGTTCTCCTTTGGCGGAGGGGCTGGCATTACCTTTAGAGGCTGTTCAGGTTTGGGAGGTTTAGATGTTGGAGAGTGGCAATCTTCCTCCTTACTGACGCTTTCGTTTTCTAGAGATTTCTCACTCTCTCTCCTCCGTGCATCTGCGAATTCAGTGGAAAGGTAAATCACAGGAGAGACTCACTGCACGGTACGTCATTAGGATCTTAGCTATGGAAAATGGCCACATCCAAACGGACTATTTCTGTCCTGAGAGGGCGGGGAGGGGGAGAACCCCAAACTCAGAGTCACACACGCATGGCGGCAGGGGCTCTACTGCTGAGACCCATCCCTGGTCTAGCTTCCGGCTTTTGGTCATTATCTGTATTGCATGTACAGCCAGTTTTGGCTCTCAGGAGATATAACTACCCCCCAACTTGTGGCTTCCAAATATCCTACTGCGAAGCTATACTGCCTGCCAGAGAAAACGTAAGGACCCTTCAAGGATCGCTGTTCATCTTCGCCTCACGAAAAAGCTCCTCTACGGGGCTGAAGTGATAGTACAGCCGGTAGGGCATTTGCCTTGCACGCAGCCACCTGGGTTCGATTCCGGCACCCCATATGGTCCCCTGGGCACCACCAGGGGCAATTCCTGAGCGCAGAGCCAGGAGTAATCTCTGAGCAAACAACATTTTTGACACTGGCACCCCTTAATGTTCCCCAGCACTGCTCAGGAGTGATCCTAGAGAGCAGAGTCAGAGGCCCCGAAACAAAAACAAAAAGCCAAACCTGGAAACAACCAGATGAACGCATAAACTACGGCATATATACGTTACAGGGTACTAATGGGCTCTAAGATTAAGGTAAGATGAAACCAGGCAATTTGCTATACCAAAGTTAGCGGAAAGAAAAGAGACGGAGACAGACAGAATGCTATTTTCTGATATATGGGATATAAAGGCAACAGAAACCAGACTGGTCTTCAGAAGGAAACTTAGGGAGTCTCCGCATGGCGATACGGGCGGATACTGCGGAGGGAAGCGGACACTCTGGGCGAGGTCTAGGAGGACGTGGTGCTGGGCTGTGCATGGAACCCCATCATTAACGGAACTGTAAACAATGGTGACTAAGGGGGTGGGGTGGCTTGAGTTTGTGGTAAGGTGGGGCAAAACAAACCAAACTTCAGGGGGCAAAAACAGTCCAGGGGCTGGAGCAATAGCACAGCGGGGAGAGCGTTTGCCTTGCACGCAGCCGGCCAGGGTTCGACTCCCAGGCTCTCCGAGAGGGGTGGAGGAATCAAACCCGGCTTGACCGGGCTGAGTGCGCGCAAGGAAAATGCCCTACGCTGTAGCAAAGCGTGTAGGGCATCTGCCCTGCATGTGGTTGACCCGGGTTCAATTCCCAGCATCCCATATGGTCCCCTGAGCACCACCAGGAGTAATTCCAGAGGGTCGAGCCAGGAGTAACCCCTGTGCATTGACAGGTGTGACCCAAAAAGCAAAAAGAAGAAGAAACAGTATACTGGGGAAGGTGCTCACACACAGCCAGCCCTACTTCAATCCTCGGCTTCAAATATGGTCCCTGAGCAACTCTGGGTGTGGCTCCAAATGTATGAAGCAACCAACCTTCCTCCCCCAAACAAACCCGTGGGCTGATTTCTGTCACGTCCCTTCTGAAACGCCAATACAAAAACCAAAAATCAACCCAACAATAATATTCCTACTAAAGTAGAAAAAAGGCACTATGCCCTAGTTGTCTAAGAGGCCATTTGAGTGTGAATCATTTCCAGAAAACGACATACAACAGAGAGAGTGTGGGGTCAGGCCTTGCACGCGGTCAGCCCCGGCTCCACCCCCCAAACCTTGTGTCCAGTAAGTCTTCAACAACGGGAGCCCAAGGAATACTCGGCTTACTAAAAGCCGCCCCCTTCCCTAAAGAGAACCTACTCCACAATACTTAGAACGGCCAAAACTGGGTAAGATGATCACGATCAGCATAAACAAGACAAATGCCAGGGCAGGAGAGATGACGGAACCTGGGCTCACGCGTGCAGTTTGCTCTCCCAGCTTCCCCCTTCACAGAAGATTATTGAACCGTCTGGAGGTGGGGGTGGGGGGCAGACCCAGCTGTGCTTGGGGTTTACTCCTGACGGGCTCGGCGGATCATATGGGGTGCCAGGGATTGCAAATGGGTTAGCTGCATGCAAGTCAAATGCCCCCCAGTTACTCTGGCCCTGAGTCTCCTTTTGGCACTACTTCCAAAGCAGATCTGAAATTCAAGTTAATTAAAAAGTCATGAATGCAATACCCCAAAGTTCAAGCATCATTTGATTATGGATAGGTTTTAGAAAAAACAATAATGAATGATACCCACCCTGATCTGACTTACTTCTGCCAGATGTGGCTGAGGTTCCAGTCTGTGATGACTCACTTCCTGTCCTTGACCGTTCCCGTTCCTGAGTTTCTTCACTTCTCCAGCTTGGGTGTCTTGCACAAGAGATTTAACAAAATACAACATGTTTAGAACGGACCAATGCTGATTATTTTTTGTACAACCATTATTTATTAGCATCAACTAAGTAAGACATGATCTACAACACTGCTTTCGCCGATTAAAACTAATACAAGTTATTCAGAGCTGCCTAGTTTTCCAGAACACTGGTATAAGAGGTTCCTATTATATCAGATGCAAAGAACTCCTTTTAGTAAGAAGCACTTTTCTTTTTGGGCGGGCCAGGGTTGGGGTTGCTCAGCGACTATATGATGCTGGGAATTTGAATTGGGGTCAGCCACATTCAAGACACGGACGTTAACCCCTGTACTATGCTCCTGGTCAGGAACATTTTTATTAGACTTCAATAACATACACAAATGCAATGGCAAGTAAGTCATATCTTCGCCCGAAGTAGTATTTCTCTCTACCCAACACCCAGTACTTTGAAGGGAAGAAAATCCACTCACCTCTCCACAGTAGGAGATTCCATACCTAAAACAGGCGCTTGGCAATTTTTACTCCTTTGAGTTTGGGGGTATACCCAGTAAAGGTAAAAGGTAAAGGCCCTCCCACTGATCATCGATTTGCTCGGGCGGGCCCAGTAACGTCTCCATTGGAGACTTTGTTGTTACTGTGTTTGGCATATCGAATACGTCATGGGGAGCTTGCCAGGCTCTGCCGTGTGGGCGAGATACTCTTGGTAGCTTGCCGGGCTCTCCGAGAGGGGCGGAGGAATCGAACTCGGGTCGGCCGTGTTGGCTGCGTGCAAGGCAAACGCCCTACCTGCTGTGCTATTGCTCCAACCTCTTTGAGTTTGGGGGCATACCCAGTAGTATACCCCAAGTGCCCAGGGTTTTTTTTTTCTCCAAGTGTTGCTTGTGGATCAAAGCGTGAAAGGCTGGGTGTGAGGCAAGCATCTTAACCCCTGTGCTATCTCTGGCCACAGCTGTTTCCTTTCAATGCCAGGCAATCTTTATGAGGACAGACACAGGCACTCACTTGCTAATTCTCGCATGAGAGCCCCACCAATGTCGATTTGCTGCAGGCCGACCTACTAGGCTACCTCAAATAACCAGCCAGCTCTTCAGTGGGTGACACTGCCTCACACAGACCGCCTTCGGGTCCTGGCAGATGACCCTCCATGCGGCCCAGTGCCCACCAGCAAACGGACACACGGAAGCGCCCCCACCCCACGATGGAATGGGCTCACCGGTGGGACACCCGTAACGAAGACCACCTTACCGCTCCCGAGGCCGCCGCTCCAGCTTTGGCTCATCCAGCTGCCGCTGCAACTTCTCCTGCTCCTTCTGCAGCCGCTCTTCGACCTCTCGCTCTCTGGCAGCCGTGTCCACAGGCTTCGCCCCCCCGAAGATAGAGGCTGCGCGACTGGACTGGGAGGTGCTGGCAGAGGAATCGTCTTCCTTAGGAGTACTCCGGGGCTTCAGATTCAGCTTGGGTCTCTGGGGCGGACCTAAGTGAAATAAAACCCCAAGGATCAGTTTTCTAGTTCCCATTGCCGCCCATGATGCAGAGCACCGGCACCGAGGCCTATGTTGAAGACGGAAGATGGATGACCTGGAGAAGGTTCAGAGCCCACGAGAACGAGATCGCTTCTAATGCATACGGGCTACAGTATAAAGCTGATGGTGATTTATTGGGCAAAAAAAAGGGCACACAACACTGAATATATGAATGCACACTTCAAGCGAGACTGTTTTCCTGATTGAAGCTATTAGAACAATTCAAGATAAACCCAAGTTTCCCCAAGAATTATTTCCCAAAATCACATATTCTCAAAACCCCTTAGTTTATGACAGCTAAAAAGCAAGCCAAAATTCAACAAAGTTGCCAGAGACTTCATTCTTCGACACCACACCTAACTGCTGGCATCCCAAGCACAATGCTCGATCCCTGTAATGCCTTTCCATGTATTTCATTACCTATGCTACGTGGGCAGATTTACACATATTTACATAACTGTATTTTGGACTTTGGGCCATCCTGGCAGTACTCAAGCTGATTCCTGGCAGGCTTGAGGGGCTCACATAGGACGCTGGGGATTGAACCTGTACAGCCGTGTGCAATGAAAATGCCTATCTGCTATACTGTATCTCCAGCCCCTGGTTTTATTTTCTAAAACAGCCGAAAGTGATGAGACGTTTACCTGAGCTTCTAGTATTTAAAATTGTTTAGTTCAGGGGCTATAACCAGCAGTGCCGGGAGCGTGGGGTAGGGGACAATTCCTATCTTGTACAAGAAAAGACAATCTGAGATACTAGACTGATATGTTTGCTATCTGTGGGGCTGGGACAAAACCCAGGCCGCCTGCCTGCACAGTATATATTCAGGTCATTAAATTACTTTTTCTGCCCCATTTTGGTGAGTGGGCCTTTAGGGCAAACGTCTGATTGCAAGAAAAGTGTCTTGACCCCTGTACTGTTCCCCTGGACACAACGCTGTAATACAGAACCAGAAAGTTCAAAGGGCCAACAGCGTGTTTCTGCTTCCTCTCTGGGTTCTGAGTTCCATCTCTGGTAGACATGAAGCCCTGGGACTGCCAGTGGTAAATGCCCCCAGTGATGAGCTGGGTGTGGTCTCTAAACTAACACAACAACTACAGAGGAAACATTGTGGATCATATAACTTACTTTTTTTTAGGCAGAAATAGTAACCATTTACCACACTTAAAAAAATACCCCCCAGAGCCAACTACTGGTTATGAGGTATGCCTGTGAGTCTCATTTCCCTGGCTTGAAAAGTGGGGCTAATCTCACCTATTTAAGGGATAACCGGAACAAGACCCCTTCTTAAGAATGTTGAGCAAATAGATCTTCCTATTTTCTATTTAAAAAAAATTTTAACCAGAGAACCCCATATGGTAATGCAGATTCAAGTAGATGCTGGAACCTGAGTGACAGACAGGGCAGCAAGTAGGGCATTTGTCCTGCACATGGCCAACCTGGGTTCGATCCCTTACAGCCACTGAGCATGACCAGGAGTAATTCCTGAGAGCAGAAGCAGAAATAACCAGCGAGCACGGCCACCAGGTGTAGCCCCCAAAGCCAAAAATAAACCAAGAGAAGTAGACGCTGCTTTATTTTCACTGTCACGCGTGTCCAGTGCTCTTTCTACTATGCTACGCTGCATCCTCTCTAATGAGTAAAATCTGCCTCCACTCCAGGAATCTGAAACACTGGGTTTTGTTTTTGGACCACGCTTAGCAGTGCTCAGGGCTTATACCTGGCTCTGCACTCAGGGATCACACCTAATTTGTGACTGAGGGACTCAAGGATCCATACAGGGGGCTAGGGATTGAACCTGGGTCAGCCGTGTGCAAGATCAACACGCCGCCTGCTCTATTATCGAAATCTGAAACATTAAGCAAAATTCTCCAGCGCCCGGCTTCACTGACACTGGGAGACAGCTTACCTCTATCATCACGCCGGTAGTCATCCCGGGAGTAGTCATCCCTGGAGCCCCACGACCGATCGTCTCGTCTCTCGTATCTGTCTTCATAGCGGTCCCCACCCCCTCTGTAGTCATCATCCCTACGGTACCCACTACCAAAAGCTCTTCTGCCACTGCCAATCCTGGAATCGTAGCCTGCAAACACACGCCAAAGTATGGTTTATCATAGCGGAGAGGAAAAGAGGCAAGAAGACCCTCAAGAGAAGGCAATTTGTGCGATAACCACCTCTGTCGTAGTCTCTGCCGCCTCGGTCATCGTAGCGATCTCGGCCCCCGTAGCGATCCATATCCCGGCGTGGGCCATCCCGATACCCATCCCGGTAACCATCCCGGTATCGGTCTGAATCGTAACGGTCTCGATACTCTAGACAGAAGAGAGACAGAAAACATCATAGCAGAAGAAAAACACTCAAAAGAAGACTAATCTCTATTTTCAGTTTCTGGGCCACACTCTTGGTGGCGCTTGGGGGACTGAACCCGGGTCAGCCATATGCAGGGTAAGAATCTCACCCACTATACTATCACTCAGGTCCCCAAGAGAGAGTAATCTTTGTCATCTGTAGTCATCCTGAGAGTATTCATCCCTGGGGCTCCACGATCCATCACCTCATCTCTCGCACACACAGATTTGATGGTTCTAGTGTCCGGCTCCAGGTGCTTCTGCCAGCTCAGTGCTGCTTGGGGGAGCAGCACTGGGGACAGAACCTGGGGTCCTGCATGAAGAGCAGGAGCCTGGGCGCCAGCGCCATTTCCCGGACGCGCGATGCTGGCTGGAATACTTGTCTCTTGCTTAGTGACACAGACTGCTCAAAGTCACACAACAGAAACTATCACACGGGTTTGTGGTTGTCACTAGTTTCCCAGGTTTACTCACATTTTGAAATTTGGAGAAGTTGTTAGGATTCCCTCCAGAGCCCTAACAGGAATTATCATTTACCTATTTTTATAGCTTACATTTTAGTAACAATATAAACATTTAACTTTTTTTTGAACTATTATCCTGCATGCTAGAACACATTATAATAAGCAATACTCGACCATTTTTTTTTAACTCAACAGTATATTCTTCCCATCGTAAGAAATAAAGATAGGGACTGGAGAAATAATACAGTGGGTAGGGTGTTTGCCTTGCATGCATGCAGCTGACCTGAACTGGATTCCCTGCTGCAGAGCAAGGAGCAATCCCTGACCATCACCAGGTGTGACCCGAAAACAACAACAAAAGTTGAAAAGAAAAAAGATAGGGAGAAGGTACAAGAACATTCAGAGACCTGGGCTTAATCCCAGCACTACCAAACCACCACCACCACCACCACCACCAAACTAGGGCTGGACAGATAGCTCAGCAAGCTGGGGCAAAGACTATGGATGAGGACGGCTCAGATTTGCTCCCCGAGCAGAGCTGGGACCACCCAGACCACCACCAGGTATGGCACTCCCCAAAAGGCTCTAGAGGGAGCCAGAGCCATAGTACACTGGGCATTTGCCTTGCATACGGCTAACCTGGGTCTGATCCCCAGCATCCGCGATTCCCCCCAAACCACCAGAAGTGATGCCTGAGGGCAGAGCCAAAGAGTTCCAAGTCTTGAGCATCACTCGTGTGCCATAGACCAAAAAACCCAAACCAAAACAGCCCCATGAAACTGGGTCCGCCAGGAATGATCCCTGAGCACTACAGGTGAGGTCCTTGACCCCATGAGCTATTTTGGGTCACACCTGGTGATGCTCAGGGTATCTCCTGGCACTGCACTCAGGAATTATACTTGGTGGTGCTTGGAGACCATGAGGGATGCCAGGGATTGAACCCGAGTCTGCTGCGTCCAAAGCAAGCCCTACCCACTGTACCATCGCTCTGCCCCCCCGCAAGGGCATGGCTTGATTCCACCCCCCACTGATGTCCTTGGAGTTTATTAATGCAATTAGGCTTTGGCTATTATACTTAGCTCTAGTTGTCTAAGCCATAGAGCCATCTTCTGGGCCTAGCTTGTTGCAAGCTTCTTAACAGGGCTGTGAGAACTGCCACAGCAAACTCTGGTTTACTCCCCCACCGCCATCTTGCCGGCAGAGAAACAGTTCAGCGCCACATCTCCAACAGAGTATAATACCACTGAATCCTTCCAGGTAGAATGGTCCAGGCCGAGAACTCTGGGGCTTCCCAGAAAGCTGGTGGGCAAATTCACCTCCCCCCCACTAAAGGCACAGTAGCCTGCAGCTATACCCAACAACCTCTGATATCGAAAGAGCCCAGCTCCACAACTGGACCTCGGAAATGCCAAGAACTGTCCCAGATCTATAGCGCATGGACAGCCCAGCCAGCAGGATCACGGCAAGCTGCCGAGAAGCCCAAGCTCAACACGCCTGAAAGTAACACGAAAGGCTCAGCTAGCACCAACTAGCACTGGAGGTCCTTAAAGACTTGAGCCATATTGCTGTGAGATACAATGATCAAACTGACCCTCATTGACCCAAGATCTGAGAATTCCATTTGCCTTTGTGTTCTAACACAGTATGAAGTTGATTGTGCCGGCAAGGGGCCAGGCCGGGCACACTGGGAGGATGGGTGTTTAACTGATTTGTGGTTAACATTTAATGCCTGAAAACAACGTGGCAAATCACGGTGTTATTGGGCAGGGCAGCCGACCTCGCATTTGCTGCACAGGTGACTGAAGTCACAAAATCATCTTTTGGGCTCCCCAACTAGCGGCACTAGCTCTAGTTCAAAAACTTTGTAAGCATGTTTGGTTTCTTTATGCATAATTATCTCCAAGAAGAAGAAACATACGTTCTTCAGGCCATCTGTCAACCTCCTTTCTCGTATCACGTAAGACATTACCAAATGTTTTTCTGCACCCACTGATTTCTGTTTTGGGGTGACACTCAGGTGCTCAGGAGACCACTGGGCTGCCAGGGATGAAACACCCGTTGGCTGCAGGCACTCCAGCTCCCTCTGCGCTCGTTTTCCACCGACCAACGACCTTCAGCAATATGCTTGTCTTGTTACAGAACACACAGCAACTTGATGAATGAACTTACTATCTCCAAAGCTGTCGTCGCCTCTTCTAGGTGGGTAATCATCAAAGCTGTCTGTAGCGGGACGGGCCCTCCAGTCTGTGTCTGTCTTGTCAGAGTCCCGATTTCTATCTCGGCCAAAAGAGCGATCATCCCGATCTACAGATACACAAAAACGAAACAGAAACCGCCCCAAGTTAGCTCTTCAGTACTGACATGCACAGTATCCCCCTCCCCCCCAACACAACATCTCCACCACAGGCCTTCCAAGTTCCTTCTACTGCTCTGACCAGGATCTATCTCATTCTTTTGTGTAGGCCAGAAGCTTCCCAAAACACACCAATTAGGTTTTGCTTGTGTCCAGTACGCTCGAATCATCAGATTTTCCTTGACTGCTTTATTGTCAACATGACATTTTGGGCTGGATAACTAGCTCTTTTTATTCTCTTATTTTTTTGGTTACATCCAGTGATGCTCAGGGGTTACTCCTGGCTCTGCACTCAGGGAATTACTCCTGGTGGTGCTCGGGGGACCATGGGATGCCAGGGATTGAACCCGGGTCGGCCACCTGCAAGGCAAACAGCCACCCGCTGTCCTGGCCACGGGAAGGCTGTCCTATGCCACGGACCCTTTCAGTTCTCAGACACTGAAACATCGCTCAAACATTAAAATCATTCAGAGGGGCAAAATCTGTCATAGCTGAGAACTACTTTAAATTCAGATACAATCATCACTACTACAACAATTTTCTGAAAGAGCCATTTCTGATTTTGTCATCCTAGTACTATAACAAAAGCAGTCAAGTTTTTGTAACTGAATCAGAGCGAGACACAAAGTTGTAAGTTTTCCATGATTAAATTCCGAGTCCTTACCTAGTTTGAATACATATCCCTTCACCCGTGTCTCCTCCCGCCCCCACCAAGGTTCCCATTTCTTCCCCGCTCGCTCCCCACCAGCCTGCCTCTATGGCAGGCACTTGCCTCCACTTTCAGGCATTCTGGTTTGCTTTTGTGTAAAAAAAAAAAAAGAAAAAAAACCCCAAACCTACCTTTATCCTGTGCTTGATCAGCGACATCCACTCGAATTCTCCTGTTACCTAAAGACTGAGAGCACAGGACCGTATTAACCAACCTTTTGCCCCATTATGCACAAATCTCACGAGGTAACTATAGAGTTTTACTTGGAATAAATTACAAATTAGTCGGATGAGGCCTGGGGATATGGCTCAGCGGTACCGCGTTCGCCTTTTGTGCCGGAGACTGAATCCATTCCCCAGCACTGTCTCATACTGTGGACACCAGGGATCACACCATGCCTGGTGCTATTAAAAAGTGCTGCTTTCGGGGCTGGAGCGATAGCGCAGCGGGTGGGGCGTGTGCCTTGCACACAGCCATCCCGGGTTCGATTCCCAGCATCCCATATGGTCCTCTGAGCACCGCCAGGGGTAATTCCTGAGTGCGGAGCCAGGAGTAACCCCCTGTGCATTGCTAGGTGTGACCCAAAAGGCAAATAAATAAATAAATGAAATTTAAAAAAAGTGCTGCTCACTACGCTACAACAGCAATCAACAACCGTGTACACTTCTTGCCCCAGCCAGCCAACGTAGTGCAATTTCTTTCTTGGAAATTATCCCTAGTTCACATAAAGCAAGCGATCAGGTTGAGATCACCCATTATGAAGTGAAAAATACTTCAAGAGAATGATCCTCGCTTTTGGGCCATACCCTGCTACGCTCAGAGCTTACTCCTGCTGGAGCCGGGCGGGAGAACAGTGTGTGGTGCCTGGGACTGAATCTGCATCGGCTGCATGCAGGACCAGCGCCCTATCTGCCACACCAGCTCTCTGGTTCCAAGAGAGCGCGATTTTGATGTCAAGCGGAAAATCTGAATTGTAAAGTCATGCCATCGATGCTATTAGAAATTGCCTCAAGAGCAGAGGGGCAGTGCGTTTTCTGGACCTGAAGTTAAAATGAAAAACAAAAGCCTCTTTTGCTCTGCCCCCAGCTCCTCGTTTAAAAACTACGACTGCGACCTCGGCATCCCACACAGCCCCCACGAGGAATTCCTAAGTGCAGTCAGAAGTAACCCTCGAGGGCCACTGCCTGTGGCTCCAAATTACCAAAACCAAATAAAACAGATGCTGAAGTATCCTTTGCTAGGATTACCCCAAGAATCACTAAAGCACTAAAGTAACAAAGAACTACAATTGGGAATAACCCCCCCTGCCCCCCCCCCCCCCCCCGTACCAATAGTCAATAGTTCTCTCTAGGTATCTCTCACTAGTGTATCTGAACAGAAAACATATATGGGCAGAGTCTCGAGTAGTCGAGTAGCAGGACTGAAGACTCCCATGGAAGATTCTTTAAATGACATCCCAGTGAGAAGTACACCTGAACCCTCCTAAAAGGATCAGGGCCAGAGAGAGTAACAGCTAAGGCACTTCCTTTGCATGCAGGCAACACGGATTCAGTCACTGGCATCCCCGCATGCTCCCACCAGGAGTGAACCGAGGCAGGAGTAAGCCCTAATAACAGCTAGGTGTATGTAGTCCCCAAACTTTGTGCCCTATTCCCAAAGTACAAAGACATTTGGTACAAAAAAAAAAAAAAAAAAACCAAAGCACGAAACACCCACATTACCCAAATCACTGGAATTTACCCGAAACCCAATAACTTTTGGTAACTGCTCAACGTGACTTTGCTTAGCAAAGTCCACACTTAAGTGAACCAATGCACAGTTCCACTGTGACTTGGCACGAAGGATTCCTTCCACATTCCCCACCCAAGGTCCTTCCTGAAACACTTGGGTTGGTTTTACTTGCTGAGGTGAGGTGTGATTTGCTAGATGGTGAATTAAGTTGTTCAGTAATTCGGGGTTTCCTTTTATAAATACTGGAATGTTTGAAGCATCTACTAAGGGGACGAGAGAGTATGAGGGACTGGATGGGCTGCTTGTACTGTACCCAACCTGGGTTTGATCCCCGAGCATGGAACAAAGCAGAGGACAGCTGACTGTGAGCCCCAAGTGACACACAACAAACATTTGATAAACGTATCTGAAAGCTCTCACCTCTCCCGCTTCCCAACCATATTTTCTTTACCTCTTCATTGAGGCTCAGGGCACTGAGCAAGGAATCCAGGTCTTCAAACTCCGCGTAACCAAAACCTTTCAACCTCTCTGGATTGCCGAGCTCACGTGGCAAACGCACCGCACTGATCTGAAGGAGTAAACAAAAATATTTTCCTTTTAATTAATCATTAATTTTTGGATCACTGCAACCTACTGCAACATACCATGAATGTCTCTGAAGATCCCTAAGAAACTGATTATCTCCAAAGGAGATTCCACAGTTCCTGATTAAATCTCATCCATCTTTGAAGATATAGGGCCGGAGGGGCCAGAGCACAGTGGAGAGGGCGTTTGCCTTGCATGCAGCCAACCTGGTCCCATCCCTGACATCCAAATATGGTCCCCTGAGCACAGAGCCAGGAGTAACTCCTGAGCATTGCTGGGTGTGACCCAGTAAGTTAAAAAATAAAAATCATAAAGATATGGGGCTGGAGATAGCCCAGCAAGTAAGGGCACTTAAATCGCATGCAACTTAGGGTTAGTCCCTGGCATCCCACGTGGTTTCCTGAGCACAGACCAGAAGTGACCACTGGGCACTGCCAAGGGCGGCCCCAAAACGAAACAAAAGATACGAACGCATTCCATAAGAAAGACAAAAGCAAAGAAGTTCAGCGTTTCCTCATACCCGACTTTTGTCCTCCAGAGTCCTAGTAGCTTTTAGGGGTTTTCCAATGAAAAGCAGATGTCTCCGTTATCTTTCAGTTTTTAATGTGTAGCATCATTGGTTTTAATATGTATTTCTAATTACTTTTTTGAAGTGTCAGGGTTTGGATCCCTGGACCTTAACCATCTGGAGCAAATTACTAAATTACACTCCTGGCCCATTCTTCTTCCAATTTTTGGGTGGGGAGGGGGAGGTCCCCCATACTCAATGGTGCTCAGGAACTCACGTGGGGTGAGAGACCAGAACCAGGGCTCAGGGGCTGGAGCAATAGCACCGCGGGGAGGGCCTCTGCCTTGCACGCAGCCAGCCAACCCAGGTTCGATTCCCAGAATCCCATAGGGTCCCCTGAGCACCGCCAGGGCAATTCCAGAGTGCAGAGCCAGGAGGAACCCCTGTGCATCGCCGGGTGTGACCCAAGAGACAAACAAAACAAAACCAGGGCTCACCCAGAGGATGAAACGTGTGAGGATAAAGAATCTGCTTTGCATGCAGCTGATCCCTGGCGCCATGTAAGTTACCCAGCCCTGTCAGAAGCAATCCCTGAGCACTGCTTAAAGACTGAGGTCCTTCCCTTTGCCAGGACTCACACATGCAAAGACTGGGGCTGGAGATACCTGAAGTGGCGGAGTACACGTTTATCATGGACAAAACCTGAAGTTCAACCCCCGCCACCAACACCAAAGCAAAAACACCGACAAAATTTGGTGAGTAGTCAGAGAACAGTCTAAGGAAGGGCTTCCAAGCAACACTGACGGGAGTTGAGGTCACTCCTAGTGATGTGTCAACTGGATCCGATAGAGTTCAATGCTTGGGCCCAGGGGTACTCGGCAATTAAACCCAGGGACATCTGGACTTGGGAAGTACGGCGAAAAATGATATTCACAGGTATAGAGGCAACATTCACATGGTGATGTGTCCTGCATGATGGGGCGGCAGCAAGGAGGCACTGTGGGGGCTATCCCCTGCAGTAATTTATGACGTGCGAGATCAAGGCCTCTTGACATCTATCACTATCCCGTGGGATAGCACCTCAAGGCTTTTTAATTTGGGGGCGACAACCAGCCGAGTTCAAGGGAGCGGATGTGGTGGATGGAACGAACCAGGGTCTACTGTGCTCAAGGCAAGTGCCTTGCCTATTGTGCTATCTATCTGGCTCTGCACTGGTAAGTTTTTTAAAGGACCAGAGACTAGTTTACTGGAGGACATGCCTTGCTTGTAGGAGACACCTGGCACCAGAAGCTCTTCTAATCTGTCCCCCACCCTCCCCGGCTCTGGCCCACCCCCAGAGTTAAGTATTTTAATGAGTGTTGAATTCTTGAGACTTTTTCTATACCAAGAAGGTGTTATTAACGCTGCTAAATTTGATCGGCAATGGGTAAGAACAAAAGGCCTAAATTTACCACTTTATCAATTATGTATCTCTTCTTTCTATGTCTAGACAGAACTGCAGAATCTTCCAGAGATAGGTATTACCAAGATACCAACAAGCACAACTTGTTAACGGCAGGACCTCTATACACTTACATTCAATCCTCTAAAGAATTCTTTGATGGACTCTTCTGTCACATCGTAGGGTAAGTTCCCCAGAAAAGCCGTGTAGGGTGGAGACCTGGGAAGACGGCTCCGGTCGATATTGGGTTCCCGAGCAGCCCGTGGAGCAGTGGGCAGGATGGAACGGTCGATTGGAGGCGCCCTGTACACGTCGTCGTCGTTACTGTGCCAAGTAGTTGAAACTGAAAAAGCAGTCAAGGATGTAAGCGATTGCAGGAAGCTTCCATTACTGTTGCTACAGCATGTACAGAATAAGAGGATGCATGCGACTTGTTAAGTATAAAGAGATGAAAAAGAAAGTCTAGCCAGAAATAGTCAGAAATGGTACTTTAGGTCTTAACATTTATGCAAAGTATAACCTGCATGACTTTTATTATTATTCATTTTTTTGGGGGGTGGGGGGGAAGGGTGGTGGTAGGGGGTTAGGCATCGGGCCACACTAGCAGTGCTCAGGACCATATGGGATGCTGGGAATCCACCTGGGCTGGCCGTGTGCAGGACTAGTGCCCTACCACTGTACTACTGCTCTGACCTGACATATAATTTTTTTAAATGAAAATGTCATAAATCCTATAATTAACTTTAAGTCAGTGTCTAAAATTAAAAGAAAAAGGGGGGATTAGAGCAACAGTACAGCAGGTAGGGCACTTGCCTTTTAAGACTGATTCCTGAGTACAGTCAAGAGCACAGCCCAGTGTGACCCACCCTCTCCCGGGAAAAAAAAAAGGAAAAGAAATACGGGTCACAAAAGAGCATTCTTCAGAAAGTAATAAAAGATGAACGTTGGGGGGAGGGGGGTCTGGAGAGATTACAGTACAGTGGGTAGGGCCATTCCTGAACACTGCCAGGAATGAAGAGTCAGGAGTAATCCGTGAGCATCGCTTGGGTGTGGCCCATAAAAAAAGGATGGCTGGTAACATTTGTCTTACCTAACAGAGTTCTGCTGTTCTGAGCTACTACTAACATCCTAAAGATATACAGCCCCAATGTCTCTTCTGTACTTTCTTACCATAAAACACCTTATCTGTTGCATTATCTTTGGTTCTTTTCTTTTTCTGTGCTTTTCTTGGGTCACTCCATCGCTCTGCACTCAGGAATTACCCCCTGGCGGTGCTCAGGGGACCACATGGGATGCTGGGAACCGAACCTGGGTCGGCCGCGAACCTGGGTCGGCCGCGTGCAAGGCAAATGCCCTCCCTGCTGTGCTATTGCTCCAGCCCCATCTCTGGTTCTTTTCAACCCATTTCATTCCCACAAGGAAACCCTGACATCACATTAACAGCTCCTAAAATGAATGAGTTCTCCGCTTTGTACAAATGGCTTATACACGACACTATGAAACTGCTTCATGAGGACACTTTAGGATTTTAGTCCTAAATGGAGATAATCTAGTGCTTTTCAAATGAAGAAAAGGAGGCTAGTACCTGAAGGAAAGTGTGTAAGTCAGACTAACATAGGGCTGTGTTCAGGAGGCCAGTAAGTGATGCTGGGGAATGTATTCAAAGGGAAGAGAACGGGGGCCAGTGCACGGTATGAGAGTTAGGGTGTCCGCCTTGCACAGGGCGACCAGGGTTCCTTCCCCAGCATCCCATATGACCCCGAGCCCCGTGAACACCGCCGGGACTGATTCCTGAGGGAAGAGCCGAAGGACCCAAGGTGTGCCCTCCCCTACAAATGAAAAATTTCAGGTTCTACAAATGAGGATGTTGATTTTAAATCCTAAGTGTGAAATATTATTACGGAATAGGATTTGTAGAGAGGAAACACCAAAAATTCCCCAAGGGAAAATGAGAAAAATTACCATCTCCTTCCAGGTCGTCGGTTTCATCAGCCCAGCTGACTGGTTTGGGGACATAGGTACTTCCTCCACCAGTACCGCCATCCTCGGCCAGAAAGTCTGTTAGGGAGATAGTCTTTCCCTTCTTATTCTTCTTTTTTGCTGTTTTAAAAAGGCAAAGGGAAAGATTAGTCATAATCACTCAAATATTTACCATATCGAACATTTTAGTAAATATAAAAAACATCAAAAAGAATTGAATTATGGCACATTTATACAAAGGATCACTATGCGGAAACACAAAAGGAAAATACAATGGGAAATAAAAATTAAAAATTTGCAGAATATTTATTATGCAAATCCCTTGGTTTACAGTAGATTCTATCCATATCCTGAACAACATTCTGTGACATTTTTGGGAGTCTGATAGCTATTAAAATAACCAGAGGTAGGAACCATTACTGTCAATTTATAGAGAAGGAAACTAAGTTTAAAGACTTAAATGAGACTTTAAGTTTGAGAGGTCTATGACTATGCTAAGCAGGACTAGAACTGAACTTAGGATTCTGAACACCAAACCCTGAGGCTCTTCCTAAGGAAGAAACCCAGCCTCAAAGCAACTTTTACACTATTTCTGGGGCGATTTATTGCATCCATGGAAAAATGTACCATCATTTGCAAAGTGTTCAAATGGTCAGACTTTATGGGGCCAGAGACAGAATACTGAGGGCAGGGTGCTTGCCTTGCACACAGCCAACCCAGGTTCGATCCCTCGGCACTGCACATGGTCCCCTGAGGCTGGTCAGGAGTGGTCCCTGAGCACTGGGTGTGGCCCCCAAACAAAAGAAATGCAAATGGTCAGATTTTATGCACAGCTGATCTAATCTCTTCACACCTATCTTAATGTAACATCGTTGAGATTTGGTACTAAAGGGACCAACACTTCCAACTGTTTGTGGTTACAAAATCCTTAGGAATCTCCAATTAGCAGACTAACCTTGGTTCTTTAACTATCTAGTCCTCAGAACTTCTGAGATGGCACCAAGCAGCAGCTAAGCAGAAGAGCAGAAAGGACTAATTGCCTTCTAGAACTGGCCCCTGAGAGCAGCCACTACATAAGGAAAAAGTCAAGCAGCTTTGTTGAAATATCATTTTCACAGCTTTTATAATCCTGAGTTGCTCCTCCATGTTCCAATTCTCATTTAACTTTCAATCCAAGAGGACTAAGAATCTGGAACTCGATGCACTGTTTAATTCGAGGTTGCTCTCAGTTGGTACCTGCCTTTCTCTTAAAATCCAACTTTCAGGAAATGAAGATGACCTGTTTGCTATGAATGTTATGGACAGCCTTCTGGACACAATATGCACCTGACGTATTATGGTCTCAATGTGCAAATCAGATGAATTTGGCTGCAATAATACAGAGAAAAAATGGCCGTGAATGCGAAGTTTCCACACCTTTCTCAAGCGACTTAAAACTAATCCTGCTCCCAACGTTATCAGTCACGACCAACCAGGTTCTATTTGGGCCTTATTCTATGCTTTGAAAAAAAGGTGACGCAGACTTTAGAATAGCGCCCCTAATTTCCCATGGCTTAGGGAAATCCAATAATCTTTAAAAGATACAGGACACTTATAATTAGGTTTTACTCCTTTTTTTTTTTTTCGCTTTTTGGGTCACACCGGCGATGCACAGGGATTACTCCAGGCTCTGCACTCAGGAATTACCCCTGGTGGGGCTCAGGGGACCCTATGGGATGCTGGGAATTGAACCCGGGTCGGCCGCGTGCAAGGCAAATGCCCTACCCGCTGTGCTAGTGCTCCAGTCCCAGGTTTGAATTTTTCATCTCAAGAGTAGCATGCTGCTACCTGAAGATCCTGACTTCGGGCGGGAGAGTCAGCTCACATGCTTGCAAGCAGGAGGCCCAGGACCCAGCCCCAGCACAAGGTCACCCTAGCACCAAGGTAGAAACAGACGCCCAACGCACCCCCCCCCCCCCAACAAGGACAAAAAGAAACGATCCTCACTCCTATGGGTCTTAGTCAAGTACCATCAAATATTATCTACCTATTTACTCATCTGATGCCTACCACCACCAGCAGACTCTGAAACCAACCCGCCCTTTGCTCTGATTGTGGCTTAAGATCAGGGTTTCTCAACTCTCACCCCTTGACTCTCCCGTAAGGCTATTTGAGATTTCAAAATGATAAACTTCATGACCGAAAACACTAAGCTACTAAGTCTACTCGCCATTAGGCGTCTTTCCCATCTTCTCCCCTGCCCCCCCCCCCCCCCCCCCCCCCCGCCGGTGTCAGCAGCTTCTCTCCTCTAAAATCTGCAAATGGTGCTGGCAGGTCACACACAGCTGTGTGAAGGGCGCTTGCCTTGCACGGGACTTTTGGGCCCCCCACCCCACATGGCCTCCTTCGCACTGCCAGGAGCAATTCCTGAGAGCAAAGCAGGAGTGACCCCTGAGACTGCTGGGTGTGCCTCCCCCACCCAAAACCATCTGACAAGTTCTCCTACTCATAGGCGTTCCTTTACAACTAGCAGCACAGAGTCAGCCACAACAGAAGCAGACGATTTAAAGGGAGCCAGTCCTACGGAGGACAGCAGCAATGCCGGAACGGGCTTAATGTCCGCTCCACTACTTCCAGTCATTCAGAAACAGTATCACTCGAAGCCTCTGTTCCTTTAACCCTGCAGTATTTCAGCCCATTACACGCTTGTACCTCAACATCTTCTCTTGGTAGGCAAAGCACAGCTCAATGCTTTCCTATCACAGAGACAGAACTGGCCAACCCTTCACTTTCCTTGAAACTGTAAATTGGCTAAAACGGTTTAATCAACCACACCTCACAGAACACGTCCTTGCCAGATTACGTGAGACAATTATTGTGGGCTTCTCAATAAACAGGGCTTACAACGAGAGATTTAAGGCTCCCCTTCCACCCCAAGACAACTAATCAGCTTACGATTGATTTCCGTAACCAGACATTTTAGGCCGGTAATTCTTTATTATGGGGTCTGTCCTTTCTGGTCTCTGCTGATCTAGATGCCAGCAGTGAGCCTCTCACCCCACACACCAAAAATGCACGTAAAAAACACTTCCTGTGCTGTCAGAATGCTATTACTCAATTTTATTACTAATAAAAGAACAGGCAGGTATCGGGGTGACAAACTTTATAGCTGGCTGCTAATTAACTCCAAGACATTATATACCTTCAAGCACTAGTAAACCTTAATTCTTGTATGGCAGAATCCCACTTCACCCAGTATACTTGTATCTCTTATTTAGGAAGGGCAATTTATGTGGCTCAATACTGAGGTGAAGTCAATCTTAAGCTTCGTAATTTCAGATCTTGCCAGATTAGGCCCATTTTACGGGTTTATCAACTCTTCAGGATATTTTACTGGCGCTGGAGAGGTGCTTGTCTTGTACGTGGCCAACCTGGGTTTGATCCCCTGGCACCCCCTATCTGTTTCAGCTAGAACAGGGTAAGCCAACTCATAAAACTAGACATGCATGGATTTGTCAATTAAAAAAAAAAAGAGTATGCATATATCCTACAACACAGATTGAACCCTGGAAACACGATGATACGTGAAAGAAGCTGGTGATGAAAGCCCATGCATAGAATAGTCCATTTATATGAACTGCTCAGACTGGGGCTGGAGCGATAGCACAGCAGGTAGGGCGTTCGCCTTACAAGCGGCCAACATGGCCGACCCGAGTTCGATTCCTCCGCCCCTCTCGGAGAGCCCGGCAAGCTACCGAGAGTATTCGATATGCCAGACACAGTAACAACAAAGTCTCCAATGGAGACGTTACTGGGCCCGCTCGAGCAAATCGACGATCAACGGGAGGGCCTTTACTTTTTTTACTGCTCAGACTGGGTAAAAAACAGAAGTTGAAGAGGAGAAAAGGATGCCAATGGGTGAAGTTTCATTTTGGGATGCGCCAGTCTGTTCAGAAATAAAAACTATTCAGCAATTAATAAGTATCTCCTTAAACAAGACTGTGTAAATGCATTCAACCTACCCATTTAATAGAGCGCTTAAAACTGGACTAGTTGTAATGCTGTTAAGTCGGCCATAAAAATAAAACCTGTATTTTATTAAGTGTGTGGGCAGGTATCCTCCAAGCAGTGCAGTGCTTAGGGGTGCTCAAACCCAGGCCAGGTCCATGAAAGGACTCGTGGCCCCGCTACTCCCTCTCTGGACCCACACCTGTATTTGATGCAACGCATCGCCGTGTTGAGAAGACTCATCTTCATTCTGCCACACACTTCAGACAAATGCGAAAAAGGCTGCCAAGACCCACACAACTGCACCTGCTCCCACCTGTTTTCAGTTATGTGACTTCTTTGCTCTTCTATGTCTAACTTCATTTTAACACAAGCTGAGGAATATGCCACTATGCCTTTCTCTTACACTCACCCTGATCATCTACACCAGCGAACTATTAGACAAAAACCCGGAGCTTTAAAAAAGAGCTATAAAAATTCAAGAATAATCTGGCTGGATGTCGATCAGTACCAAGTACCCCGTGGACAACCCCTAGCACCAAAAGCAAACAACCTGCTTTGAACTTTTTCCTGGAAGTGGGGCCATAGGAAACAAATACCAATCTAAGACACTGACGTCCACGTGTGTTCCTGTATATGTACATGCAGAGTTAATTACAAACACACAGAAAAAAAAAGTGAACTGTTGAAGTGAACTGCTTCCTTCAAAACCAGGAAGAGAACTCTAGGATTCTGAGATTGAATGTAATGTAGCATTTTCCATCTCAAATCATACACAATTGTACCTCAAATCTTTAAAAAATGCGTAATACCTTTTAGGTAATATTTAGAAATTCCATGTCTTACTTTACTCTCTAGATTCGTACTTTAATGACAACGGAAACTTTTGTTAAGGTAAACCACCACTGGGAACCAGACTTTCCCTCCATAAATGTCACTCACACGGAACACCAATTTTGGGGGGCCACAGCCAGCTCTGTGCCTGGACGTCGCTTTCAATGGTGCTCAGGGAACCAAGCAGTGTCAGTGCCAGGGATCCAACCTGCACGTCCAATATGCAAAAATATGCTCAAAGTCCACTGACTTTGCCGGGTGCTCTGATGGCATTTTAAAAAGTGCTACACAAACGGAAGGTTGGGTATTGAGTGCACTTAATTTCCAACTTTAGAGCATTTAAATGTAAAAAAACGCTCATCTGCACCAAACACTGATTTCCTGAAGTCAAAGAGCAGATTCAGTAGTCAATGCTGGGTCATTTGTTCTTGAAGGTCAGTAACTATCTGATATGGTACTGTCGCAAATGAAAAAACAAAAAATCCATCTAATAAAGGTCTATGAAAAAATTTAAATGTATCGCTACCCAAAAAAGTGTATACGTACATAAACGTAGGATCAATTTTCAGCACGACAAGGCATCAAGGAAGTATATGGAAAACAACTGTTTCCTTCACTACAACACCATTTGGGAATATTGGTCAAAGACTGGAAAAGATTCCAAGTGGAAAAAGGAAGATGATAAATCCCCCAAACTCATCAGCTGGAACCCGGTGCTCACAATACCGTAGTTCTGTTAACCTTATACATACCCACAAGTGAAAAAGACAGAACATGTTCCAGGAGACCCAACCGCGTAGAGAAAGTACTAGTACAAAAGTCCCCATCACTAAACAGACCCTGTAGTCAGTCTGGATTTCATGCTGGACTGTGAAAAGCAGATCAGGAACATTCCTAACACCTAGGGGGCAGGAGCGACAGTACTGCAGGTAGGGTGCTTGCCTTGCAGGTGGCAGACCAGGGCTGGATCTCTGGCACCCATATGGTGCCTTGGAACCAGGCAACGTGTAGCCCCCGAACAAAACAGAAACCCCAAACTCTTTTTTACACCAAATTCTACAGGCACTCTGGAAAAAGCGAACGTAAGGCACTCATTAGCCAGCCCAGGCCCACAAGAACTGTGTGAGATGGAGCTTTTGCTCAGCATCCCATCACAACCACACGCCATCCAGTTATCTCTACTCTGCACGGATCAAAGATTTCGAGCCTGCGTTGGCACTTGCAAGCGGCCTGACGCTGAATGAAAAATCCCAAGCATGAAATTTTGAAATCCAGATGACGGAGACGGTCGGGAGTGCTACCACATGCCCGCACGATCCTACCAGAGTTCACGGGGACACTCTCGCTTGGGTGCTCTAAGTCAAAAGTGCACCCCCGATCGAATGCACCTCGATTCCCGCTGCCTTCTCCAAAGAGACACGTAACCCTTTTGTCTCTGGGAGGACACAGGACAACAACAACAAAAAAAGGTCGGTAGGGATACGCGTGCAGGGAGAGCAGCGGTGCAACCAATGTTTTGCACAACGGTTCGCTTGGGCTCTGTCAAAAATAATGATAATAAAAATAAAAAAACTCATGCCCCCAACGAGGACCACAACCGCCACCCAACACGCGGAGCCTCGAGCTAAGGCCGATTCTCGAGGCTTCCCAGTGCCGAGCAGTTGTGCAACGATCGAAATCAAACAAAGCGCAGCCCCATCGCTGGGGCTCCCCAAACGGAAGCTGTCACGAGATCGGGCCTCGGTCCCCGTTGCCGGTGCATATGCAAATGCACATTGTTGTTATTGCTCTGATTATTTTTCGGCCCGTGCCTGGCACTCGGCGGTGGCTCGGCGCAAGGGGTGCTCAGGGGGACCGAGGAGCCGGGACCCCAAAAGCGGCCCGAGAACCGCGGTCTCCACCTGGCTTCCTCCCGGACACGTGGGCGCCGCCACCCCGGGCGCCCCACCCCCACCGCGCTCGGGCGGCCCCGGCCCGCGCCCCGCGCCCGCACGGGGGCCCCGGGCCACGCTTCCGGCGGGGAGGGCGCAGGAAGGCGCCGCGGGCCCTCCCGGTCGCGGGGCTCCCGGCGCGGGCTCCGGAGGGGCCGCGGTGGCCGGGCCGGGCCGGGCGCTCCCGCGCACGCGCGCCGCGCCGCGCCCGCCGCCCGCGTTCTACCCGCCCCCCCACCCCGCAACGGCCTCGCGCCCCGCAGCCCCGCGCCCGCCCGCCCGCCCGCGCGCCAACCGCCTCCCGCCTCCGTCCACGCGGGCGCGGAGCCCCGCGTCTCCCCCGCGCCGGGCCGCGCCGCGCCGGGCCGGGCCCGAGGTGCGGGGGGAGGGGGCGCGGACGCCCGCCCTCCCCTCCCCCCGCGCCCCGCGGCGCCGGCCCGGCCCGGCCGCGACCCCCGCGGCCCGAGGGGCAAGCGCGGCCGCCCGCGCCCCGGCGCCGGGGGCCCGGCCGATCCGGCCCGCAGGCCCGCCCCGGAGCCCGGCCCGGCCCGCGCTCGGCCGCTCACTCACCTGAGGCCGCCATGTTGGGAGAGGGAGCGAGAACGCAAAGGACCCGGATGCGGCGGTCACGTGACTCGAGCGGGCGCGCCGGGCGGGGGGAGGCCGGCCGGGGGCGGGGCGGCGCCGCGCCGGGCCCGTAAAGCAGTCGGCGGCCGCGGCGCGGCGTGCGACGGGGAGGCGGGCCGGCGCGACCTGGGGCCGGAGGGGCGGGGCCGGCGCTGTCGTGAAGCCCCGCGCGCTTTACGTCGGCTGCGCGCGCACGCGGGCCGGGCGGGCGGGCCGGGGCTGGCGGGGGCTCCCGGGCCGCGCACTTCCGGCCTGCGGCGGGGAGGCGGGGGAGGGGGTCACCGGAAGGGGCGGGGCCGCGCGGCGGCGTCCCACGTCTCGGAGGCCCAGTGGAGGCGTCCTGGGGTCCGGGATGGGCGTGCCAGCAGTTGGTTTTCTGGAGAGGAATGTTCATAGTTTCCTTTCCAAATCGCCTTTTTTTTTTTTTTAAATGTAGGAGTACTGCTATATATTAGGCGGATTGAATTGGGCATGAACTCCACCTTAGTTTTTTTTTATTTGTTTATAATTTTATTTATTGAATCACTGTGAGAGCAGTTACAAAGCTTTGGGTTTTTTTTTTTAATGTAGGAGTACTGCTATTTATTAGGCGGATTGAATTAGACATGAACTCCACCTTACTTTTTTTCCTTTTTTTATAATTTTATTTATTTATGTAGTATTGCTAGTTATTCAGCCACTGATTAGGTGATTGAATTGGGCATGACTTCCACCTTCCTTTTTTTTTTTTTTTTTTTGCTTTTTGGGTCACTCTGGGCAATACACACTGGGTTACTTCTGGCTCTGCACTCAGGAATTATCCCTGGCGGTGCTTGGGGGACCCTATGGGATGCTGGGGATCGAACCTGGGTCAACCGTGTGTAAGGCAAACGCCCCACCTGCTGTGCTATCGCTCCAGCCCCATTTTTTTTTCATTTTTTTATGATTTTATTTATTGAGGCCGATATTTATTGAATCACCGTGAGAGCAGTTACAAAGCTTTCGTTTTTTGTTTTTATTTTTTTAATGTAGGAGTAAAAGGTAAAGGCCCTCCCGTTGATCATCGATTTGCTCGAGGGGGCCCAGTAACGTCTCCATTGGAGACTTTGTTGTTACTGTGTCTGGCATATCGAATACGTCACGGGGAGCTTGCCAGGCTCTGCCGTGCGGACGAGATACTCTCGGTAGCTGGCCAGGCTCTCCGAGAGGGGCGGAGGAATCGAACTCGGGTCGGCCATGTTGGCTGCGTGCAAGGCAAACGCCCTATCGCTGTACTATCGCTCCAGCCCCATTTTTTTTCATTTTTTTATGATTTTATTTATTGAATCACCGTGAGAGCAGTTACAAAGCTTTTGGATTTAAGTCTCGGTCATGCAATGAAACATCCGTCCTTTCACCAGTGCCCGTTCTCCACCACGAAAAACTCCAGTTTACCCCATCCCACACCCTCCCCCCTACCTGTGGGGCAGATGATTGCCTTTGTGTGTGTGTGTGTGTGTGTGTGTGTGTGTGTGTGTGTGTGTGTGTGTCTGTGAAAGCAGAATAGGTCCAAGGCCCTGTGTTGCGTAAAGATGCTTTAGGTCGGGTATATTTAGAATGAATGAGGAAACAACCAATAATGACGATCGAATGTTTCTTGGCTCCGGCTACACTGAGTCAAGCTATGGTTTCAGGGCCGAGTGATAACCAGCCTTCCTCCACCTAACGTTCACTTTAGCTTGCTCATACATTGTCATACATTCCAAATCTTTCCATGGACTTTTTGGTTTTTTTTTGGGGGGGGGTCACACCGTGCATATTCGAGCTTACTCCTGGCTCTGCACTCAGGAATTATCCTGGCAGCATCTGGGGACCACATGGGGGTGCTGGGGATCGAACCCGTGTCGGCAGCGTGCAAGGCAAACACTCTACCCACTGTACTAGTTCTCCGGTCCCTCCAAGGACATGTTTGATTGAACACTTACCGATGATTTTGGGTACAACGGTACAAAATTTCCCCAAAGGAAGCTGCAGTTCTGTGCCCAAACAACCAGCCGGTGCCAGAGCCAATGGCGAGACCCGGGCTCCATCCTGCCTTGCACGTGGCCGACCCGGGTTCCATTCCTTGCATCGCATCTGCTCCTCCAAAAACCGCTGGGAATAATACCCTGAGCATTACTGGATGTGGCCCCCATATAAAAGACAACCAGCAGTGACTGATTAAAGTAAGAACTTAGTATTATACGTTATTGTTAAGTAATGAATTGTAAAAATAAAACCACAAGATTTTGAAGGTGGTTGAGGTTACTGGGTGCAACTTTAGATTTTCCGGTCAGGGAAGGTCCTGAGGCAGTGACGTTTGAGTAGACCTGAATTACAACAGCCGTGGGAGATGTCAGAGCATGCTCAGCTAGATCTAAAGCTTCGGACCGGGAACATCTTAGCAAGTAGAGGATTTAAAGGCTGGTCAACAGAGGATCGCAGGGTTAAGAGTAGTAGGAGATGAAGTTTGGGAGCTAGGCAAGGGTTAGGTCATGTGAGGCTCTGTAAAGGAGGGGTAGGACTTTGAATTTTATTCCCATCTTCCTGGAAAAGCCTGGAGTGGTTTTGTTTGTTTATTTCTGTTCGGGGGCCAGATCTGGCAGTGCTTAGAGCTTACTCAGGGCTCTGCATGCAGGAATCATTCCTGGGGATACTCTGGGGACCTTATGGGGGTGATGGAGATTTAATTGGGTCTGCCACATTGAAGGCAAGCGCCTTATCTGCTATACAATCTCTCCAGCCCTGGGGTGATTTTATGAAGTGAATGTCATGATAATGAAATTAAAAATTTGGAATAAAAAATTGAAGAGTTATCTGTTATCTTGATATGGTTATGTGAGTGTTATGTAAATATAGATATATATTATATGTGTCTATATAAACTATTAGATATGAAGATTTGTGTACTTGGGGCCAGAGAAGTGTTGCTGGTAGGATGTTTGCCTTAAATACAGTGGACCTGGTTTGATCCCTGGGACCCTGAGCCCTACCAGGAATGATTGCTGAGCTCAGAGCCGGGAGTAAGCCCTGAGCACCGTCAGGTGTCGGCCATCCCCTCCCCGCAAGAACTTTCTTTTTTTCTTTTTGGGTCACACCCAGCAATGCTCAGGGGTCACTCCTGGTTCTGCACTCAGGAATTACTCCTGGCGGTGCTTGGGGGACCACATGGGATACTGGGAGTAGAACCCAGGTCGGCCACATGCAAGGCAAGCACCCTACCTGCTGTGCTATCACTCCAGCCCCCCCCAAGAACTTTCACTGTATTAATATTGGGGGTACACTCAGAGTTGTTCAGGGATTATTCCCAGCAGTTCTTGTGGTGACCACGTGGTGGGACCATGTGGTGCTGGTCAAATCCAGGCTTCCTGCATGCATTGTACGCGTTATAGACTGTCGAGTTATGTCTCTAGCTGGAAAGGTTATTCTTTAGTTAAAAGGAGAAAAATGGATTATACAAATTCATGGATGGAGAGAGAGACCAATTAATGGTGACGCAGGAGCAGTGACAGCAGGCCTCCGTGTTTGTCCATGGTCCCAGGTTCTTTAATATTTTCTTTTTTCTTCGAGGAGGGTGCACGTGGCAGTGCTCAGAGCTTACCCCTGGCTCTGAGCTCAGGGATCACTCCTGGTGGGCTCCGGGGACCTGACGGGGTGCTGGGGATCAGACCTGGGTTGACTGTACTCTCGTTCTGACCTCCTCTTCAATCTTTCCAATTTTCAAAGTATAGGGTGACAAATATGCTCAGAGTTAGAAAAGTTGATTGGAAAGTGGAAGAGAAAGAAACTTCCCGGGCTGGCAGGAGTTTAATTAGACTAAGCATGACTCATTCTGTGGGGTTTTTATAGGACAACTGGTCTTTCTGTTCTCAAAGTTTCAAAGGATTCCCAGAAATGTCTTGTTAGTTTAGGGCCCCTTTGTGTGGCTAAGATAAGAGTAAGGTTTTTGATTCCCACTTAGGCTGGGGGGACTGTCTGTTTATTTAAGACCTTTAAGGTTACATATTTCACCATATGCCCTGGTGTTGCCTCACTATCGCTTAGTCTCGAGTGAGCCAAGGTCTGGAGCAGAGTTTATGGTCTTGGGAAATTGTAAACTTCCCAGTCTCAGAAAGAACCCAAGACTTGGCAAGAATGTTTAAAATGTGGAAGGGAGTTAGCAAAGGAACAACTGCTTGCAGCATCTGGAAAAGGAAAACTGAGGCTTCTTCTTTCAGTAGGTTATTACCAGGGTACCACATAGGGTTTGTTCCCTGCGTAAAAATCAATTTTAAATGAATATTTTATGAATTTGCTGTTATTATTACAGGCATATTAATATGAATTGAGGCATTTTGTTTGACATAAATGTTATTTCAGGGGCCACATCTACCGTACATTAGGTGGGACATTTGCCTTGCTTGCAGCTGACCCTGGTTTGATACTTGGCCTTCCATCTGGTCCCCCAAACCTGCCAGGTGTGATCCCTGAGCACAGATCCAGGAGTAACCCCGGAGCACCGCTGAATGTAGCTCAAAATATTTAAAAATAAATTACTTTTTCGTTGTAACTTAAAAATAAATTAAGTTTTGTGCCCCTCCCCCCAAAAAAAAGAGATAAGTATGGTAGGATCTAGGGTACTGAGCTTGCTGTGTTCTTCATTTATTTATTTTTGGCTTATGGACCACACCGGTCATGCTCACGGCTTACTCCTGGCTCTGAGTGGGGAACTCGGGGGACCATATGGGGTACCAGGGATTGAACCCGGTTGGCTGCATGCGAAAACAAAACCCTACCCACTGTACTATCTCAGCTCTCTTCCTGTGCTGGCCATGTCAACATTGGCTCAACGTTGGCTTCTGTAATCGAGCTGAGAGAAGATGGTGGTTCGGGTTTGAGTACAGAGATGGGAAGGGACAGACACAGGCATAGTTTGGAAGCAAACATGATGACTGATTGGCTGTGAAAGGCGCAGGAGAGGGAGCACGCAGAGATGACTGGCTCTGCACTCAGGAGTTCCTCCTGGTGGTGTTGGGGGACCCTACGGGATGCCGG